CAAAATTCGTCATTTTCATTGAAATTTTTTTGCTCTCTGCAAATGTTATCGAAACTGAAGAAGACAGTTGGCAGAATTTCGATTATTATCGAGATTTTGCATTGATCACCGATCAAACATGCATAATTTATAGGGATCGAATCGGTGCAGAAGTGAAAATTTGCACTCCAAGCATTTGTATCACTTCCTGATTATCACTGATCCTCTATTTCCCTTAATTTCGAATTGCTTAATTTTTGCACATTTATTTTTGCATGAATTTATTCGAAATGTATTTCAAGAAAAACAGCCCGAAAATTATTATTAATAATTTTAATAATTTGACTGGTATATACAATCAAAGCAAATCTAGACAATAAGTAAATTAAATTCTAAATTAAGCAAAACTTTATCAATTAATACATAGAAAGCAAAACTAGAAATAAGGTAGAAATTAGCGCTGCAATTTTAATACAAACTGAATCTCTACAAATTATTACTATTTTGTCAGTGACAATATTTTTATTGTAGCAAATTTTAATTTCAGTCACTGATCAAATTATAATTTGAAAAATGGAACTCATGCAAAAACATCTTGTCAAGAAACATTGTTTTAAACTTCACATTTTTAAATTGTTATGAATCGGTTCAGACCGCAAATGTAATTTCCGTTTAGCATTAAAAACATTGAAATACAAATTTCAAGTTCTAGCTCCTGAAAGAAACGGCAAAATAAAATCAAGAAAATCATAAATGACAAAATCATAAATGGCTAATCAAGAAAAAAATGAAAAAATAATTAATATAATCGAAAATGCTAAAATATCCAAAAAAAGGTCAAAGTGTCATCATCAAGTGAGAAAGTTCAATCAAGTTTGTCCAGTAATTATTGACTTGTTAATCTCAGCAACAATTATAGCATGATTTGTATCAGATATGAATAATATCAAAATTCATATCATTATTCGTAAGCATTGACCGTAATTTAAACATCCTTATTGTTTCAGCAGTAATTGTTTTATAATTATTGGTCATGTTATTACTGACATGCTAATTATCTGCTCTAACACTTGTATGATAGTATTGTATGGTCAAATGAGCAAATTATTTCGATTCAAATTTCATAGCTTAATTTAGCAAAGATGTAAAATCGCATTAAATATTTAAGTTTTACTTAGTAGAAATAAATTATTTTATTTAAATTAAGGACCCAACTTGAAATTGAGTCACTTCATAGTAGTTATTGTTTCAAAAATAGCACTAATATTAACTTTAAAAGATTTTTGAAGTGACATAGTTTTGGCATACGAATTAAAAAAAAACCTGCTGTAACTATGAATCTTTGCTTATGCTTACTGTCTATCACACAGTACAATAACTTACTTATATATACTTATATTTTTATTGTTTATTCATCTTTTTTAACAAGTTTAGTTTCACTTATAAAAGATATAAGTAAGAGAAGCCCCGCTAGCTTTCCATCAATTTAATAATCATAATCGAAATATGAACAAATCACTGAGTTATTACAGTAATATTTGTTAATTCAGATAACCTTTCCACTGTGATTAGTTGAAAAATAAAAAGTGCCCATCTTTTGTATGAAATGAAAAAATATTTTTGGAGAATTTTTGTGCAAAATGAAATTTAACTTTTCGGCCCGATCTTTTTTATTTTTTAAATTTAAATAATTTTTTATTATCATAAATATTTCATACTGATTGCACATATTTCTTAGAATTAATGTTTTCGATTCATTCAATATTAAAGCAAAAAAGTAAACTGTGCCCTTCTGACCATATTCTAAGCAAACTTTTAGCAATTTTTACTCTAAATGACATTTACAGTAAAAACAAAACTCAATACTTTTTGAAATCGAAATTGCTATTATTGTATTATATTTGTTTTTACTTGATTTATTTTATTTTATTACTTATTATAATTATTATTTGCTATTGCTTATTATCATTTTAGGAGATCAAACAAGTCATGAGATAAATTATAGCCGTTGATGTATAGAATACTGATGTCAGTTATGATACGAACAGTTTTCAGTTTCTTTTTATGTGTTTAAAGTTTGAATCCCTAGTGATAATTAATAAAACTGGAATCATAATTTCAGTACAATAATTTTGTTTTCATAACTAATTTGAAAATAATTGCTCAGCAGGCAAGCCAAGCTATTGCATGTGTGAAGTAGCATATGACGACTACAGAATTATTGAAGTTTGCATGCAGCTTCCGTCCTTGCCATATTCACAGTTGTATTTCTGGATTAGAGCAAAACACTTGAGATGAACCTCTTATGCTTGATGAACAATGTCAAAGTGTGCTGACATGTATTATTTGAGTGGCAAAGTAATAAAGTACCTCACTTTATTCTTACTTATTCTGCATCTTGTAATCCATTATAAATTACTTATACACATTTTAACCCCAAAACGAGACATATGTTAGTATTAAGTACCTCAGAAACGAACAATCTCCAGCGCCACTTATCCTTCAAATTACAAAAACTCCTTGAAATACTCTTTAAATCCACTTTAACACAAAACAAGATGGAATGAACATCCAATCATGAATCTACACTGATACATCACATAACCATAGTTATGACAGTGATCATCTATTTCATTTTTCTGAGAGATAAAACAGCTTCGTCATGCATTTGGGATAAAAGTCACAACTACAGTAATCATTCATGTTCATGAATTGTTGATTCTAGAAACATAGACGAAGGATTCAACATGCTTATTATCATTTTAGGAGATCAAACAAGTCATGAGATAAATTATAACCGTTGATGTGTAGAATACCTCCATCATAATTATTATGATAAGATTCAATATTACAAGCATGACAACACACACCAAGTAAGCGTAAAACTATAACAGCGATTTGTGCCCTCCAAACTCACACTTTTCATCGCTCTTCCAGTGAACAAATTTAGGAAAACTAAGCATTCAAAACTTATTCAAAACTCATTTTTGATTAATTTTCACAACTTTTTAGGAAACAAATAACTTTCAGCCATAAAAAGTGTAACTATTAAAATATGCGAATACCGAAGTGTTTAGATATCAGAGTAGTGTTTTTACTAGCTAGCGACATAATTTTGACGAGAACCGCAAAAATGAAAAGGAAATTAACGATGGAAGAATGATTAGTTATTGAACTCAAAAGTTTTGATGAGAATGAGATGAATGATATCCACTAGCTTCATGGGGCCTTTGGAGAATATCTATGAATTAATAATCAATCAGTCAAACTCTAGTTTATTCCCATCTCTTTCTCATTCACAGAACCGCATCAGTAATTTCTGAATAAAACATATTAATTATGGACTTGATATGAAGTTCATTCAGGGAAAAACTACTTCTTTTATACCGGAACTTAATTGCCATTAAAGAATTCAATTTCAACTGCTTAAATTTGAATCAAGAAATAAGCCTCATCAAAATTTTCTACAAATTCTAAACTTTACTGAAACAGACGTGAGTACTAATATCAGAATTGCGTCTGATGAAAAATTCGTCTTCGATATCTCCAAGTAAAGATGAAAAATTCAATATAACAAAGCTGTGTTTGGTTTAAGTATTCCGTATAAATATATATGCATGAAACGATGACAGATGACTTCGTATGGATAAAATAATAAGAATTAGCAAAGGAAAATCTTGAAAGTGCTTTAGCAAGGCTAATTATTCAGGCCAAAGCTCGATATTTTTGGATTTCCTCATGTAATTACTAGTTACTTCAATTAAGAGCACAATTTTAACTGACATCGGCTCATTTAGAATATTTCCAATGGAAAAAGCGGCAAATTTAGACCGCCGATAATAACAACAAAGTATGAAACTAACTAGATATCTTGCAAATTATTCCTAATTAAGAAACTAACTAGATATTCCTAAGTATGAAACTGACTAGATATTTCCTATTCTTACATCTCTCCGGCATGGTCCTGAAAATCATGTCTAATGTTTGCATGAAGAGTATCGGAGTACACACAACACAAGGGATTTCTACTAGCCAGCATTGATCCCTTCCCGCAAATAATAGTTATTATTAATGCTACATATTTGCAGGAAGGGACATCACCCTAGCTCCTAATAAACTGGTCAAAAAACCCAGCTCTATATTTTGCCATACGACTTGGCGACACAATTCCACTGTATTTCCCCTCTATCACTGTATACTGTCTTTAAAAATCTCGGTCAAGAAAAAGATCCCAAGAGTACTGGAACACTAGAGATTCCCATACCAATAAATAATAAAGCGTATTAGAATAAATAACTTTTACATTCTTAATAAAAAGTCTTAAAACCACGAATGACAGTAATCGGCTCCATTTGATCCATACCCATGGACCGACATTCGTATGCAATGGGAAAAATCAAATGCAGAAATTTTCTTCGCTATGAACAAGCAGAGACAAGTAAAATTACCATTTCTGCAACTTCAAAAGAAACATAGCAACATGTAATTCCTACTCCGCTTCTAGAAACAATAACGAGTAAGGTAAGGTGCTAGTAATTACATCACAGATGTCCTCGTAGACCTTTTGTTTTTTTTGCGGTGCTTTTGTCGTAAAGAAATTGTTAATGAGGCGTCTGAAATGTTTTCTTTGATTACAACAAGGAATAAAAGACTAGCGAAGCAACACCTGGTACATTCTCTTCTATAAGATTAGCCATGCTAATACTTCTACATTCAGTCATGCCTTTTCAGAACCTTATTGTATTCAGCAAGCTGAGTGATTGCAAACTGTTAATTTCACAAAGGACAGTAGGAATAATCAGGTCATCAAACAGTCAGTCTACCATAACATTTTCTAGCCTTACAAACCTTAACCAGCTATTATATCATATTATGTGTTCCTTGCAATGACAACAATATCATGTATCCATTTCAAAATGATAAATAAATGACTTCTAACGATTTTCATTACTCCAACTTTATTGGTTACGCAAGACTAAAAAAATAAAAATCAGGCTATCAATCACTAAACCATCAATTAATTAAATCTTGTTGAATGCTACAATATCGACGCTTTGCACCTGAAAATACAAGCAGTAATAAAAGTTCAAATTTCGTTTTTAATGAAACTTCAATTTTGAAAAAAAAAATTTCGAATTTGAGAAAAAATGAAAAATTAACTTTAGAAATAATAACAACATACATGATCTGGTATTTCTTCAATTATTTGTTCAATTAAATTATCCACGGACACTTTTTCATCTTCTACTACGCATATGATCTGTAGAACTTTGATGCCGTAAGCGAGCGGTACCAATTTTGCTAAAAATCATTTATAAGTGAATCTAACAATAAAAAGTTGGAAAAAATTCTTACAAAAAGTTGGATATATAATTAGTTGTTAATTTGATCATATGAGATTGATTCATTTCAAAGAGGATTTCTGAATTACTCGAAAACCATACAATAATGACAAATACTCTACTACCACAAGCAATAAGAGAAAATTATTTCTTACTCGATAAAGCAAATCGAAAGCAAACCGAAGAATCCTGTTTTGTGACTACAATAAATTATATAAACTGACCTCCACCCCAAACAAGGCCATCTTTTTCTATAGATCTTACAAGTTTCTCCATATCTTCCATATTAGTTGTGTCATCCCATGGCTAAATATTACGCATTATACCAACAAACACCATTCATTTTTCATGACAAGTTCTAATATTAGTAAAGAACTTAAAGCTAACTGCTACACTACAGCAGCATTCAGTGCGGTTTGAAAAATGTGAAATGAGCTACACATTCAAAAAATAATCTACACTGCAGACTACAAACCCGAAACACATCGAAATATTACACAGTCATACACGCTAGCTACTAAGCACTCGCTAAATGACTAGTACTTTAACAAGCTGGATCTAACTTACTTTAATATCCATAATTATTGAGGATTTGGCGATGCCTTCCGGTTTCTTAGCTTTATTTTTGGCATATGCTTTCAGTCTTTCCTCTCTGATACGCTGTTTCTCCTCATCTTCTTCATCAGATGATCCAAATAAATCAAAATCTTCACTTTTTGAGGCATCAACTTGCTCTTGTACTTCTTCTGAAGGCTTTTCTTTCCATTCATCAAAACGAACATTATTATTCTGCAAAAATTTATGATCATTTAAACCCAACAAACAGAAATGTACTCTGGAAAAGGAATTTAAACAATCGAAAGTTAGGAAAAAGTTTCAACAGTCAAAGCATAAGATTCGTGTTTCCTTTCCTATCAAAAACTCTGAGTTTATCAACAATATTAATATCTGGAGAAATGAAATATTAGAATGACAAAGCATGACACTTCAGCGTCTTTATTTATACTAAAATGTTTGCTATCATTCAGATTACTGGGCACTTCTACAATATACTTGCAGCAACATGCTCAATAACAAAGAAAGAAAAAGCAAATTTATAAAAAAGACAATTATCGAATACAACTGTGCTAAATTAAAAAAATTTCAAGTCACAGTCATTTCCAGATGTTTCTCAAGGAAACGATTTATCAGCATCAATTTCATCTCTTCATGAAATACGTTACAGAGATTCCTGGACAATGGGATTGACCAACTTTGCCAAACTAAGCGGTAGATACGATTAGGTTTTCCAAGATATGTAGTCCTCAAACAAATAACTTCATTGAATCCGATCAAGCAAAAGCCACAAAGCTCCTCAATCAAAGAGAATAAAATTTTTTCCAATTCTAATACTTTATCAGAATTCAAATAAAGAACAGACAAGTCCCTTTTAAAAAATGGTCTGAACTCGTGAGCTGCTCCTTTGAGTTTTAAAACTTCTTTCTCCAAATTATGAAGTTCATCAAGTTTAGTAACAGCTAAGGCTATTCGGAAAACAAGAGTTTCCGCTCCACATTCCATGTGAAAGGATCGTTCCGAATTTCGATATCCTGAACTGACATATGAGGGGAAATGCTCTCGTTGAAAAATGGAAACCTCTTCAAGAATCAAGTGCTGCTCTGCAGCTATGTAAATAATCTTCCAACTATCCGCTCGATGTTTTGGCAGTTGGGAATAACAGAGACATCTATTTAAAATGACAGCAATAGGATTCAAACCACTTTGTCCTTTCGCCAGAGTAAGATGGAAACGGCCCCCAGATAATATTCTTTCAATACTTACAAATGTTTTTCGCATCAAATTACGACTTTTTCGAATATTAGTTTTGCCACAGTGATGAGGAAAATTCCAAATAATATCATCATAAATACCTGTCCATTCTAATGAAAGTGAACACGCATCAATTGAGAACGAGACTTTAACACGAGGATGATAAGTTCGGAGTTTTTTGATGTTTTCCTGAGCAGATGGATATTTTTTTAAATAGTCAATATAAGTCTCGAAAACAGTTGCATGAATTTCAACTTCAGTGTACAAACGAGCGAATTCAAGACTGAAGGAAAGATCCCCATCGCCCAAAATAAGTATCTTACGTCCAATTCGTGGAAGTTGAAGAAAGAGATAAGTCCTTGACTGCAAATGATACCTAGCTTTAAAAAGTTGGGGTATACCAACCTTAAATGCAAATATATTTCGATAGTGTAGTGCGTTAAAAGGCAAAAACTAGGAAGACTATTTTTTAAAAACAGACTAAGGACAAAAAAGTTAAATAGGATGAAAAAATTACTCATTACAGTTTTTTACGCATCAAATACAAAGTGATAAATTTTGTTCTTTAACATCTTGAATTTATGAAACCTGTAAAGTAAATTGAGAAGATTTGAAATACGAAATATTTAAATTCTTCAGAATAAGTATCACTTTTATTAAATTCGATTGCAAAAACCAATAAATGGATTTTAATAGTAGAAACGACTGATTTTTCTGTTCTTTCTCGAAAACAAAAACGACCAACCTGCTGAACATATTGCAGCAGTTTTTGAAAATCCCTACTTAAGTTTGCAAGTTCAAGACGCATTTCATCACTCATTTTTTTCAACGCTGCAACCTCATTTAGCAAAGCTGAAGCATCATCGTTTCCATCATCTAAATAAAACTACCAGTAAAGTTTGTTTGGGTAGTAAAATAAAACTATTTTAAGCACTGGTGTGAAAAAATAACGAAATATGTAAAATCCTTCAAGTACAAGTACTGAACAGTGCTGAAAATGATTTTAAACTACCGAATATATGCTTGCAAACCATAATTCAAATGTTGCTCTACTTTTACTATAAAGATAAACTGCATAGAAATAGTTCTGTATTTTAAGCTTAATTATAGTATCAGTGCAATGCTGAGAACAAGTATAGCAGTAATCCAACACAAGTATGCGTAATTCATTTGCATTCATAAAGAAACCACATAATTTGAAATACACAACTAGTACCTTCTAATGCTTGCTTCAATGTTTTTTTAGCATCAACAATAGCACTACGCAAACCATCCGAATGAATGGGAGTATCACGATGTTCGCTCTCTAAACTCGTACTCTGTTCGTCCTTAAAACAATGATTTTGGCCTGAAAAATTCTCAAAACTGAAATAAAATAATTGATTAAAGACGTAAACGGGTTCGTGATACAAGTATAGTTTTGTATTTTCTAGATGGAACAAACTAGGTAAGGATATGATCTATTAGTTACTTACACGGCTGAGATAAAATTGAAAAAAAAAGGACAACGTTTTATAAAAACAATAGGTAATGAAAAAAAAGGAACAACTATAGCAAATATGATAGACTAGGTTATATGGTAAGCGTAAGACTCCCTGAGTGGATTACAAATTAGAAAGAAAAATGTTTAATCGTAAACAGAACAGATTTATACTCGAGCTTACTCGGCCTTCTTAACTCAAAAGTACATCCTAGCATGATACAATAAATACGAACCTGGTTTCTCTCTTTGTGATTCATCGTTTGAGCAGTAATGATAAAGCATTTTATCGCCAAAAAACAGCTCATCTGCTGCTTTCAAAGTATACTGGGATGAGAACAATGGTGTTACTTCGCACAGTAAACTTTGAACTGATACCATTTTCCTGCATTAATAAGCATTTTAAATTAAATAAACTAACCCTAAGCAGTAAAGTAAGTCAAAATAAGCCACAAAACTTAGATATTCAAGCCTAGAACAACGTGAACCATATGATAATAAATGCGTTTGCCTCATAAATACTTCCGCTTTCGCTACCTTCGAGAACCACCACCAAAAATCACCAAAACTTATACTCTACTAGCCTAATTTCGTACTTGTTGCATTCGTAATTCAAGAGATTGCATGTAATCACTGTGCAACGAATGTATCACAAGATGAATCGAAAATCAGTTCCCACCTTGAGGGATTAACTTCTTTCAAAAAAACAGTTGGAATTCCGGCACGAAGTTTAGCTGTAAGCAAAAATCCGACTTATATATATATATATGTTATTAGAAAGTTTTTTTGCACATGAAAAATTTCAATTACTTCTAGTTGCAATAAGTTATTCCTGTAAGTTGATATGGGAAAATTTGACTAATTTAAACGTCGGGAATCAGAAATACGAATCATGTGAACTTTCAAATTATATCAACCTAGAAATGTTATTAATGACCTTATTTTTTTGCGTTTATTCCTCCAGTCTCTCAGTCTTAAAATTTATCATTAATAAGGTCATCTTTTTTATTTTTCTCTAGTTCCATCATGGAATAAATCCCATAGAGAGATGAGCTTTGAAAAGTTCATGTTTGAAGTGAAACATGCATGGTTTGGTCGTAATTATTTAAATTTCGAAATGAAATAATTTCCTTTATCAGAATGAAAGGAAGCACGCCTCGTTATGATGATCGTCGATCAATGATTTCTGGTTCTAGCAATGGGAGTAATAGTTTGGCGGAAATTACAGGTCAGCGGTCAACTACTGGGCAACTACGGAGGTATGCTTTTCATTTGAAATTTTATATTTACAATTTGTATGATTGTGCTGAAAATAGAATCTCTATCTATGTAGTTCTTTTTCTCTATACTTAGAAAGGGCCAAGTTATAAGTATTACAAAATATGCTTTAGGTAAAAATGTTTTGATGTTTGGCAACAAAATTCAAATACGTTTAAATCCTATGAATTTCTTCAAATTTTTTCTAAAGTGTTGCTATAAGGCACAAAGGAAGCAGCGTTTATTGACATCAGAGGACTTCGGATAATTTGACATTTACATTTATTTTTATTTGATCTCTTTAAACAATTTACCGTCATTACATAAAACATTTCATTTAATGATTTATAGAAAAATAAGGAATATACTGGGTTCTGGGTTCCAGGTCGGCAAAAGTTCTTTCATTTCCAAAGAAAAATAACGTTGGTGCAAATAAAAATGTTATGTTACTTACAAGTCCTTGAATTATCTTGTTTGCAGGTTTACAGCAGGGGTAAGAAGACCAGGGCAAGCTCGAGAAGCCCGAGAAGCTGTACGAACAGCTATGAGTACGATGAATCCAGTGGTTATTTATTACAGTTTCTTATTTTGATCATGTAGTTCATTACTGTACTGACTCTTAGGGTTTAAGAAATCTAACTAAAGATATACTACAAAATTAATAAAAAAGATATCATGTTTTCAGCTATTTCATACTTTTAAATTTCATTTTATAGCGCAAGCGTCCGCTCTCGGAACCGCTGGATTATGAAAAATTTTTGAGCGAAAATAGCTCAATAATCGAAAATATTAGTAAACGACATATTAGTAAACGAGAGCTACCTTTACTTCCACTTGATAATTTCATGGTACTTGTTCAAATTTTGTTCGAAAACTGTATTCGGGTGTTGTAGCTTATTTTATTCCTGAACTCGTAAATTTTTTGATAACAATGAAAGCTTTTTTGCTCATCGAGTTTTTTCTGTTGTCTGAAAATATTCAGATTTTTTTATAGGAGGCATTACTTCCATCGTTTGAAGACTCAGGGGCAAGTTCGTCAAGCACAAAAAAAAAAGAAGCAAAATGGTTATTGGCGCAAGAAGCCCTTGAATTTTACGATACTCCACAACGAGTCATCCGTTTTAATTATGTGCAGTCTGATGGCGAACACTGTAGTAGTTCTGAGTTAGTTATCAGAAATTCAGTTTTGTTGCTGATTTGCATTTTTAATGAAACCTTGTCAACTCATATTATTACTTGAATTACCTCAATCCAAAGATTGCCGTATTGAGCACAGGATTGATTGATCGCACTTCTAGATGATTAGTAAAAAGAGTTAAGCGGAGAAGTAAGTAATGAAAGTCGATAATTAATTTAAACTGTTTTTGTTTGTTTACATTTCGAACGTATGATAACTTTCAGCAATAATAAGGAGATATAAATCTATTAGCATCATCCGGACATAGGACGGAAGCAATATTTCATGTTAATTATTTTTTATTTTATTGTGCATCATAAATTTTCTACATTGATATTGTTAAAAAATTCTCAAGATTTAATTCAGACAAGACATTGATCTTCATCCACTGGTTTATGAGAGTGATATGGCTTACAATGAGCAGAAAGAGGTTAGGTTCTCAATTATTAATTGTAACTTTCAATCTCATATTTATTAGTCATCGTTGTTTGTATTTCTTTTATTGTGTATTTCAGGATTTAGATCTTCGTCACACTACGGATGTAATTAAAGAAGGATTTTTGTTTATTGTACCTGAAACCAGTCTCTTGGATAATTTCAAGGTGAGTGGCTGAAAAAAGTGATTCAGCATAATGCGCACTAGTGTGCACTGCAGTCTTCAACAGACTACCGGACTTAACTATATATGTAGGAATTTGTTAATAAAAAGAACTCAAAGTATATCACTTGTAGAACTCAAAGAAGCGTTACTGTGTATTAAAAAAGGGGGATGATGGGAAACTTCTGTTGGAAATGCGAAAGTCACAATTTGCGTCATTAATACATTCATCAGTGGTTATTGAGCAAGCGGCATTGTCTACAAGTAAAAAAGGCAGGAAAGTTCTTGAGGTTTGTATTGGAGGTTCTGTTCTTGTAAGTAAAATTTATTGAAATAACTTATAAATAACTTTGTTATTGCTGTTGAATTTTAAATTGAATTGCTGTGTCACTGCTTTTTGTAAGATAAGGCATAATGCTTTTCTGTAAAAGTTAGTGGAGTTAAGAAAGGCTGTTTTGAAGGTATTTGGTTCCGGCTCGGAAAGGCGATCATGGGTTTTAGCAGCTGATTGTGATAATGATTTACCTCGATGGTTAATAGAAATTGATCGCGCTTTAGCTGCCGACTGCAAAGGTTGCCTATTTTATAAACATACCACTAGCTCTGATTTAAGCTTTGAAAGCGAAGGACTGTCGACATTTCATATTTGATTCTGTTTCTACGCATAGAAAAAAGTCATATCTATTATTCTTGATATACCAAATGTCTCGTGAATATTGGCATTCATAAAAATTAGTAATTAATCAAGTTGTTCTGCCGAATCATTCACTCTTCGAAGTAGTAAATGATGGGTAACACGGATATGCATCGTAGATGACAAAGGCTGTTTCTTAAAAAGCGAGTAGGCCGTCGCTGTCCGCCTTTTATTGTATAACAGTGTTTCCTGTCCTCAGACTAATAAAAAAACAGTTCACAGTACGCATATAATTAGGAAAAAATTTTCTGTATATTGTACCTGAATCCAGTTTCTGCTTTGGTTTGTCTATGTATGTAGCTTTAGAAAAATCAAAACATAGGGGTGAACATAATAATCTTCAACAGGATTAATCTATTACAAGACATTAAAATGACGACAAGTGTTAGGTGTGATAAATTGAAATTAGTGAATTTATTAGAAAAAAGTTTCATTTCGTGAGTTTTTTTGCCTGACAACTGCTTTAAAGTTTTCAGTTTGGCAAAATATCAGGTGAAGTTTGTTTTAGACCCGTTGGCTTCAGCTGTTAATTGTGTCGAATCAGACGAATGTTGTATAAAAGAAGTGGATAAGATTAATGCACAGAATACTAGTTCAAGTAAGACTTCCTTTAAGTTGATATTAGTAATATTTTTAGCGTGGTTCATTTAAGCAGATTTTAATCGCGTTTAATTATACTAATTTCAGATGATAACTAATTTTTAAGATACTTTCTATAGTTATGAGTGTAGTGTTATTTTTTCATTCATTCTCCTTTTCCTTTAAGAGGCAACTAGAATAAGCTTTTCGACGGGACAAAGTGCTGCTGCAAAAGCTTTACAGCCACCTGCTGTCAAAAGGCGGTCGTTGTTTGCATTATACTCTGATCTTGATGTTAGTTAAAAACTTTCATTGTTCATTATATTTTGATTCTATTGCTCGCTTATTTCGACTTATGCTTCATCTTTTAGATATCGCCGATGCCAAAAAGTAAAGCAGATTGTTTACTTACAAATATTGCTACGGATAAAGTCACAAGGTCCTCTAAAAAGAAAATCGTAGTGCAATTCGTCGTGGAGTTTCTAAATCTAAATATTGAATTACCAGTTTCCAGTAAAAACTTGCAGCAGGTTCGTTGCTATTGCTTACTTCTAGAAAAATTTACACAAGTTTTGTGGTATCAAAAATTGTTTGTTTATGGAATGTAATCGGTTGAAATTAATTTTGGAAGTTCATCGGAATGTTTTCGAGAAATAGATAATTTTGTCATGAATTCAAGGGAAGGTGTCTGATTCTACAGAGTTCGATCTCATCACATGCGGTTATTTTCAGATCGAACCTTTTTTCGTCAGAACATTTTTGTATGATTCTCGAGCTGGTTCTCGTTTGTCAGAAGAATTTGTAATCGATCCTAACAGCGAGGATTTAATTGCCTCGTTAAAAATTCGAGGCAAGACTGGAGCTGGAAATAATATAGCTAAGAACAGTATATCGGAAAATAATAGAGATATGAATTTATGTTACCAAGTAATTGGTGACAGAAATATGCGGAAGGTTTATTTTTAAGAATTGATTTTCACGAGAGTTTCATTCCTTACTCTTGTCTTACTAAATTAAACATACTGCCTTCATCAAAATCAGAAGCAGTAAATAGATTTGATTCATGACTTGATTCATTTAGTTCAGTCTTTGAAAATTTTTAGTAATGTGATAGTGTTTTGTTTGCTCTTTTTCAATATTAGTTTATATCCTTGTTTGCAATTGTAAAAACTTATTTCCATCCATTTGTTAATTTTGAAAGTGCTACTGGAAGCAAGATTTAATGCATTGTTTGAACTCAGAAAACTGTATAACATATCTAATTTTGTTATCCGTGTTTAATTAATTCTGCACATTTTTAGTTTTTTGTTTCATCTGTAAAAGAATAAAGTGTAGGTGCGATATTCAATAACTAAGCCCCATCGTGATATTTATTTGGTTGTACGTATCGATCGATTACTTTCAATGGATACTTCAGCCGAAATGTACATGAAGACAGTTAATGATACGAAAGGTATTGCAAAGTTGCAAAAAGTTATTCAGCAAGCTTGCTTGAAACCTATTCTTGATAAAATGCCTTTTGCATGGACTGCAAGGTTTGTTTTATCTTTTAGTTTTCTGAAAGGAAAAACTGTACTGCTCAATTTGCTTTTCTCCTTATAATCAGTTTAATTGACTGCTTCAACTCTTATTTGAAGTAATTTTAATATGATCGTTGATCTTGCTTTTGGAAAAAAAACGAAATGAAATCGGAATACTGTAAAAAACTTTACTTGCCTGTGGTAAATTTTCACTAATATTAGCTATGGAATTCGTAGCATGTGTTCATAATATCTTTTTCAACTCTAGAATCATTTTTGATGAATAGATTGTAATTCTCGAGGATATTTTCCATTATTTAGGCCTGTTTTCCAAGAAATGGTGGGATGTAAAACAAAATTGTCAAATGAGATGCAGTTATATCGTTGTGAAGGAAATAGATTAGGAGACAGTGATTTGCAAAAAATTCTTGTTGATTTTGGGCGGTTAGTTCTATTTTCACAGGTTTTCTTAACGTTTTTAATTTTTTTCTCTCTAGCTGTTTTCATTTTCAGGGCAGAGAAATCGGGAAAACTTATTCCATTACCAGCAGCATTTATTACCTTGATTATCGACTTCTCAAATGTTTCGGAATTTCCATGTTTGTAGTCCAATTATCATTAAATGGCAGTCAAACAGAATCTTCAGACTAAGATTGTATAGGGAGTACACACAAAAAATTCTAGCTCTAGTACCAAGAGTGTTATGAACAGACTGCATATTTTCGGCATCGGATTTTTAATAATCAACAAGCTTTCTTTGCACAAGTTTTTACAACCTTTTACTTTTAACTTTATGTATTGCAGTGCTCATTAATCCCAGTTTCGAAATGGTTCATCCATGGAAAGTTGCATTAGATAATCCTGCTTCAGCTTGTTTTGAAGCGCAGTCTTTTAATGATTTTGCAGTTGAACCGTACACAAATCTTTTTAATTTGCTCTATGTTTACCCATTAGCAATTAAATATGATGGTCAAAAAACTTTTAATAAAGCACGTAATATTGTTTGTACTGTACGCTTCATTTCTGCTTCTGAAGGCAGCAGTATGTCTCAAGTACGTTTAATTTTCAAATTTTAAAGAATGCCAATGTGAAGTAAATGGTATCTTTGGTAGTTTCATTCATAGAAAAAACCTAAATAGCTATCAGTTTAAAGCAATAGTCCAGCACTTTGGCTTGTTTTTTTCGTTAATGTCTTGTTCTTTTCTGTTCAAATCATAACAGTGTTTGCATTTCAAAATATTTTCACATTTGTATTTATAGGCGATTTACTGCAGATTTGCACTGCCAACACCATTTGTAACTAGCTTACGTTGCTCAGTTCAGTATCATGAACAAAATCCAGTCTTCAGTGACGAGGTTATAAGTTTATTCATAGTTTTAAATAATTTTTATTCGCTAGGTTTATGTAGTAATTTGCATCTAAGTTGTGCAGGGGATTACTGTCTAGTAGTTGACTTTTTTTAAAACCATATTCGAATTTCAAGTCTGTATTTTTTGTGTTTTTTCTTTTTCAGGAATTTTCGGATGCTAAATGAAACTTAGAACTAATATTCAGTACTGATTTTTTAGATAAAAATTCAATTACCAGTTTCTTTGGATGCAAACGATCATTTATTGTTTTCATTTAGCCATGTCTCGGTTGCAGGAACGACTGGAAATCGATTTCAAAATGAGGTTCATTTCGCGATCGCACAAATTTTCAACCCATTTACTTGTTGATTACATGCATTTTCATCTGAATGAAAATTTTACAATGTGTAGTAAAGAAGTAAATTTGTTTTCTCTAGACAAATTTTTAATACATGATTTTTTCATGATTTAGACTTTTGACACTCCTATTGGATATGCGTGGTTACCGCTTTTGAAGAAAGATCATTTGGCACTTGAACATGATGAACAGGAATTTGCTTTATCGGTTGCAGCCGACTTGCCTTCTGGTTATATTAATTACCAGTCGCTTGGATTTGGGAAGGGTGTAAATAGTTTTTTTGATTACTTGGTGTCAATTAAATTTTTTTTTGAAAAGCAAATTTGAAGAAAAAAAATGTATTGGTTTTCAGCATAATGAGTATTTGAAGCTTTGTGAAACTATTGTTTTCCTTTTTAAGAATTTTTTCTGCATTTTATGAGTAGCATTTTATACATCTGATCACTTTTTTAATAACTTTTTTGTATTTAGCACGTTGGACCATCTATTCGTTGGGTAGATGGTGGTAAACAATTATTTCGGGTACGTTTGCGACTCGTCTCTTCAATATTTACTACGGAAACAAAATTACAAGCTTTTTTCCAAAGTTGTCAAAAGCTTCAACGTTCCGGTATTGTTAGTGATGCATCTTCAAAAACTGGGGTTAGTATTATATATCTTCCGACTAATACAGTATTTATCTTTCAAATGCAACGAAATAAACCGAAAAAAAGAAATTACATAGCATGATATGCGTGTGGTCAATACTACCATTGATTATTAGAATTGCAGTGGAGTTACTTTTCATACACGCATTGTCCATGTTTTTATAATTTTTATGGCTTTCAACTTTCAATGACTAAGTCATGCTTTAATGAGATGTGGCCAGTGGTTGTTGTTTGAAAAATTAAATTTTGCTCAGTTTCAAGTGCTTCATTTTGCGCTTCTTTTACCTTTGTGAGCTGTCTATTTCTTTTTTATTTTTCATCTTAATTTTAGAAAATCAAATATCTTCTGAGTTTCTTTACGGTTACTTTCAACTATAATGTTGTACTAACTTCAATTCTGAATATTTCATAACTTATAAATGGCGCATTGAGTTTTTTTGTTCTACTTACTCTTGTAAGTGCTATGTTTCGAAGAAGCAATAGTTCTTTTCATCTTTTAAGGAATGGTTGTAATTCACAGTTGAGGTCGGACGAATTTTTAATTGCATAATACTGTTGTAGTGCTCCATTCTGCGGGATTCAAATCCGCCAATCAGCAGTACATCTTCCTTTTTTGATTCTCAGCCGATCACACGTTCCTGTTCTCCTGTAGTCGAGAATAGAATTTCAGAGGAGGAGAAAATTTGGCATAACGTAGTACAGAAAACAGAGGTGAGGATCGGTTTGGTTGATAGGGAAAAACAGAGTTCTCTTGACATTTCGACTACTTAGAAAACCTTTCATTTGCCAAAGCTATGATAGCAAATGTTTTGCCCATAGAGAGTTGAGAAATGATGTCAGTGTCAAAGGCATCATTATAATCACTTTTCTAAAATTGCTAACATTCATTTATGCATATGAATCAACCACATTTAATTTTAATGTGATTTAACACGTAATTGTTGAGAGCTTTTAATACAGTGACATTATCTTCTAGTGCTACATTTTCTCACTCATCTATTGTTTATTTCATTGATTATAGCTCTCAAATTTCTACGCAGTACTAATGCTATACATTATATTTTCATTAAAAGTCCTGATTTTCAGTTTTATCTACAGCTACAAATAAGACTCTTTATAGTTTTTGCGAAATTGCTAGAAATGAAGATAATTGAATAAAAGGATTTCATTAGTGACTTATGGACTTATGTTAGTGACTTATGAAGTAAAATTTTTTCTTTAATTCATGTTGATTAGCATTACTTATAGCAGATACGTAAGAGACATTGTTTGGATCTGACTTTCAGTTAGGCATCAGTTAAAATGATATTTTCCTATTTGTCGTTAATTTAAAAAAGTTGAATTTTTTTGAAATAAAGGACGACAACATGAGAATATTGCAGAAGCATGTGCATGTTAGCTTTACCTTTTTTTTTTTTTAATTTGAAGAGGATTATAGGGTTTTGGATGCAAATTCAGTTAAATTAAGTTGTGTAAAGTATCAAAACAAAAATTTTTTTACTGTCGGTGTGAAAAAGATTTTTTTGGATGACAAACTATTCTAAATTTCAGGCTCTACTGAACGTAGAAATTGAACGAATGATTCCATTTTTGCCCATAACTTTGAATCGATTGCTTTCACTGTTATCAGTTTCGTCTACTGATGAAATGGCATTTCAGACTTTAGGGTTGAATATTTTTATTCAGTATAATTATGATGTTTATTGAAAACTTTAAAGTTCTTTCAAATCAGATTTTAGTGCTGCGCGATAAATTGCTCTCAGTGGTAGTTCAAAGTTAAAAACAAACAAAGGATTGCGTAAATAAACATTATTTTCTTAAATATTATTTTTTTCTTGATTATTGCAGTGCATTGATTGGGATTGCAGACAAAATCACAGGAGCAAATCAGGATCATCTTCTGAGTTCATTTGTTATTTATCATTTTCGATCAGCAACACTGAAAAACAGATCAGATCTCGTAGATGAAACTGTGCATTCAGCATTATGCAAGCACATCACATCTTATGTGAGTTCTGCAAGCTGTTATGGAATATCTTGAATATTCAAAAATTCACTTTATTAGGATGATGTCATTCTAACTATTCTTAAAATGTTTCAATTTCATTTCAGATTGAAAGCATTCAAATGAGTGATGATTTGCTGGCATCAGCGTTTCGACAACTTTGGTTCCTTTTTGTAATTGCTGCTAAAAGCATGGCATTATGGCTGATTGATTCTGGTCTATATAAAGTATTTTTTTTATTAATACGGGTTTGAAATGTTGTAATAAATAAATTCTCTCTTTTGGTATTCAGTAATATATCTCGTTGCTTTCAGCATGATGTCTTCAAGGCTCCTCGAGGAAATCGCTTTTCATCTGAACTGGTACTTCGAATGGAGACTTTAGTTGATAAAACTGTATCGCTAATAATAGCAAAACATCGGGATCTTCCCCAAGAATGTCGATTGGCAAATGCAGCTTTGGCTTATTTTTTAAGAGTGATATTTTACTTCATTTACCAATTTATTAAACAAATATTTCTGAGATGAAAATTTCATTTTATTCATTACCAGTAATTCTGTTGGCATCAAATATTTATTTGAGCTATGCATTGCTTGCAAGTATTTCAGTACTGTCTGAGTTTTGTGAATCGAGGATTAGTGTTCACGTGGATTCATCACAGTGTTGAAAGCATGGATGAGAGTGGTTCAAGGGTATGAGTATTTTTAAATGAGTAGAAATATTTTTGTCCCTATTTATGTGTTCAAAAATTAATTATAAATTTTTTCCACTCCATTCACTTCTCAAAACAGTTGTAGATCTTAACAAGGTTTCAACAGATATTTTATAATTCGATAGTCCCTGATATTGTTCTTAGCGATTCTTAGTTGTATTAGGCACGAAGTTAATAAAAAATAGAAGTCTTAATGGAATCTATGCTAAGATTATTCAGATCTCTTCAAATATTTTCTTGAATTTGCTTTATTTTGTCTTATAAGACAGAAATACTTTCATTGCATTTGTAACTTTGCTTCTAGACAGTTCTCGATTACAAGTTGGATTTGCTACATGTACTTGGCAGTCATGAGCACTGGATACCATTATGCTTACCGTTCGTATGTGATGCTTCTGGAAATGTTTGCGAAAAATACGATATGAGTACAGACTACATGAGTATGTTTTATTAGCAAAATGTTTGTATGGAATTTAACAGATTTATTTTGCTTAATTACGTTACTTATTTGACTTAAATTTAATTACTTTGTCCTCAATTATTTTCATAATAACGATCTTTTAATGTTCAGAGATTTGTATTATCACCATTTCTATCGTCCTAATGTTTATTTTACTGACTGCTGATATCATTGCTGTGTTGTAGTTGGCTGCACTAATATTGTTATCTATTTTCAGAATAGCGTCATAATAATACTTCTAAAATAAGTCGCAAAAGTATTCCTCAAGTTCTTGGCAATTTTTTAGACAATATTTTTGTTTTATTTGTTTTTGAGACATTATTATGACGCTAGTATACATACAGATTACAACTGAGCCAATGCAGCTAAAAATTGGATAAAAATAAAATTAGAAATCAGAAACAGCGAATGAATAATGCGTAGTTTAAAAGATCAGCGCAAAGTCTTAAACTATACATCTGCATATCATTATGACGTATGGATTTTAGGCAAACAATGTTCAGACGAGTTCATACTCTCTACTTCGTATTGCAAGAACCATTTTCTTGTTGGTTTGCTTTTTCAAGAATTGGATGCTTCATTGCGAGGACCCCGAAATCATCGGAAAAGAGTTATTGCCTTATTAAGGAACTTGCTTGCAAAGCATGCTGATGATAAACGTTATTCTTATGCGGTTAGTGAATTGATCCTTTTTCATAGACAAATTTTTATTTGTCTAATTTCAGTTTTGATTCACATTATTTAAGACTTTTCTTTGTTCATATTTTTCATAAATATTCAGTCAGCAAAAGTCCTTGGCGATTTTTTTGCAAATAATTTTTTTTCCAGTATGCTCAAAGTTGCATAGCCTCATTGTATTGCCCTTTGATAAGTCTGGTACTGGACAATTTGGCAGAGCTTGAATCAGCCGTCAAAGCAGATTCCATAAGTATTTCACCAACTGGTGGTAATCTTACTTGTGTAGAGCCGTTTTTTTTCACTTCAGTTGTTTTTATTTTCATTTGCTTTTTATTTTCAATTAGTCTGCTTTAGATGTTATGACTTTGTAGGATTAATTCTTGTAATGACATTTGAAAACAAAATTTTCACTGCATTTCCAGTGTCAGGCATTATTTCGGATTTTTTCATCTCTTGCACAAAGTAATGAAAAATTTAATATTTGTGCAGCCTTTGTAACATTGTGTGATAAAATTAAGCTCATTTTAGATTGTATCATTTCAATTGTAGCGCTAGAGTCACAATTCTATTTTATTATTACTCTCCGAACATTATCGATCATATTAGAACTCATTATTTTTACAGATTCTCGGCAGTGCACTCGGTCATCATCTATCGAGCGTTCTTCGTTTACATCGACTCAAGGACTATTAACAAAAATGGGAGGTTCTTTGAAAAGCGGTCTGTCTTTTCAACTTCTTGCAGAAAAAGTAAACCCACATTCACCAGCTCCATGCATTTCAGGATTAATGGAAAAACTAGACCGGGTGTGTATTGTTTTTGAACCATGTTTAAAAAGTTATGGAATAAATTGATTTCGCTCGTTCAGAAGCGAAAATAATTTTACAGTAAAAATCATTTGCCTAGTACAGTTATCAAATAACCCCAAATATTTTGGTTTTTAATTGAAAGAAAATGGCTTCTCAGCATGCTATCTTTCGAAATTCCAAAATACAGAGAAATCAAAATTTTCAGAATGAATCACGAGATTTGATCTTATGTACACTTTACCTGTTATATTTTCTACCACGTGAAATTTTGGCAGTAATGATATCTAGCTATCAGTCAAATGGATCGACATGTAATTTCATCTCGTTGTTGCGTGTCGCTTTGGATAACTTCAAGTATCATGGCAGAAATTTTACTATTCAGCAGACAGCCACTAGGTCTTTTTTAGTCATTTTGATAAGATTGGTAGTTTTTCATAAGCTTATTTATCAACATTTTGATAATGACGAATTTCGGATGCTTTCTTCTAAAAGAGTTAGTATCTGATCCCTATTACAGACCTATCAAATTACTTTAATCACTTGTTTTTTTCTAGTATCGTTTGACTGAAGAATATGCCAAGATTTTTTAGAATACGAAGTACTCGAAAAACAATGATGATATTACCTCGCTCAAGTTCTTCAACAGCAATTTTTGCCAAAAACTCAACTGCTGTGGGTGAATTATCATCGAGTGGCCTCAATTCTCCTGTTATAGGTACTTTTGTAACCAAAATTTATTCTTGTTTCATCCTTTTTCTTTGAATTTTCATAAAGTTTTGTGAAACCATCAATTTCAAGAGCAGTTACCAATAAAATCGACCATTGAAGCGGAAGATGCGACACCATTCAGTGCATTACAAGAGTCAAATTTAACTCAGGAGATAGCTCTCATAATTCTAGAAACTATCCAGGCTTTAGCTCAACATGTTTCAGTACGTCTATTTCGTTGTTAAATTTTTTTCAGAATAATTCAAGAATTTCTTCTTGCTTTTTCCTGATTCTCATAAGTACATGATAATGACAGCAGCGGTAATGTAAAATATGGCATATTTTTCGTAATTTTTATTATTCCTAAATATTATTTGAGGATACTGTTGAAAATTCGGCAGATCTTGATGGGACTAAAATTTTCCAGCAAATGCTTCGAGTATTATTATCACTTCTAGATAGTTGTTGGCCGGAAGCAGTGCGACATCATGCCCTTGCTGCTCTCGCTGTTTTTATTAGCTTGGTAGAAATCTATGCAAAATTTAATTACGTATCTTGATTTAGAACGCAATAGAATAAAATGAACTATCTTTTTCTTATTTTTGCGGTTATTTTAACGAAAATGCATAGTCATTTTGGAGCTTTTTATTTTGAAATCATTAATGGTTACCCAACATGTTGCATATTATCAGAAAAATGAGATATCAACATCTTATATACAATGTCAGTACTAAGATTCAGTCTGAAGAAGCCATAAATTTTTAATTACAGTTTCGTTATCAGTTTTTTAAAAGTGGCCCACTTGATGGTTTATCTTTGCTTATTGAATCACTTCTGTTGCAAATGAATAGTCGACTTCCTAAAATTCAAAATGCTGCAGTAGCATTATTGTATTTTGTCTTGAAAAATGGTTATGACTGCTTTCCTTCAACAGGTATTTTTATGAGTATTTTAAGGTTAAAATGTGTGGGCAGATTAATGCATGCATGAAACGCTTATATTATGTATTTCACTCTTTTTTTATAAATTGTAAACTCTAGTACAAGCTAATTTTTGTATCAAGCAGTGCAGAAAATACTAGGTTCTATGTGAGTTCGTTAATTTTAGAAAAAAAAATCATGTGCAGGATAGACTTGTCTTTTTTGACATTCTTGTTTTTTTAATCTTATTTTTCTGGCAATAACAGTGCGCTGTTCTGCAGAATTTTTTCTTGCTAGTCGAAAACGAGCAAATTTGCCAAAAGACCTCGATATGCAGAACCTTGGCAGACCTGGTGCACAGACAGGAGTAGCTTTGGCCAGGTCCTTTTGTTTTTTCGCAATACTGGTGGTTTACAATATTTGGATTTCCGCAAAAGGAATAAATTTTAATGCTTACAGTTTTGGTAGAAATCGTGATGTTGTAAATTGCAAATAAAATTATATTCTGTTATTTTAGATGGTTTACTAATTTCGAAATGTGATTATCAAAACTAAATGAAATGCTAATTCTTGAGAAATTTCTTAGTTCTCATTATTCTTTGTGATTTTGGACTGTGTTTCAGGCTACTGGGGCAGAAGATATCTCTTGCTAATGAAAGTCGGTTTGAACATGGACTAGATATGTTGGAGTTATTGGTGAAACCTCTATCTGGGATCAGACCAACTACTTTTGAACGTGGTGTTATCGTATGCGTTTTATTCTACTATTTTTCGAATTCTTTAAAGTTGGGAAAGGATTTATTGCTTCTTTTGTATGGTGCCTTAACCCTATTCATTTATTGATGTTTTTGGTTAGTGTAGTTTTAACCTGTTATTGAATATTCAAAAAATGAAGAAATCTTCAAATTTTATCAATTTTATCAGTTTTAATAAAATTTTAAATTTAATTCAGCAGCACAGATGTTTTCTAGAATTCTCTATTATCGGTACTATTTTAGGAACTAATCACTCAGCTGCGCGGTGTGCTGTCGGCAACCAGTGCTCTTTCAAAAGCTGTTGATGATCCAGTAAATAATGAAATATTTGAAATAATTTCAGAGCACTACTTATTGCATGTTCACTAAAATGCTATAGATAATTTAAGTAGCGTGACTGTTTTTATTCTCATTATCAGTGCTTTTATAGTTATCGCTTCTCATTCACAAGAAAGTCAAGTGGCTATTATTCTAATTGATTGATTACATTGACCTATTTACTTAAGATTCGATTGGCAGACTTACATGTTCAACTAGCTGATAGTTATCGTGGATCAGCAGCGCTAAGAAGTGCATGGTTTGAAACTCTTGCTGAAGCACATATTCGTGAGCGCTGGTTTTCTGAAGCAGCTGTTTGTGAAGCTCATATAATTGCGATTATTGGTCGCGAACTCATTATCAATGGTTCATATAATTTAAAAAATATCTGTCTTTATGTTTTGAAATTGTGATAAATGTGATTCAGTTGGCATTTTTTGTTGAATTCTGTATTTTCAGGATGCACAAAAATCAACTGGGATTTATTGTCTTGCATTAATAATTCGATAGCTAGAGAAGAAACCGTCAATGATGTCGATTCAGAAATTATACAGCATGGCGGATTCAGCTTGGTCAGTCTATTTTTGTTCCTTTCATGTCTGCAGTCATGTTATTCTTTGCATTCATATTTTTCAGGACACTTTTACTAGTAAAGTTGAAAAGCTGGTACAAACACTAATCATGGCTGAAAGATATGAGGCAGTCGGGCCAATTTGTCGTTTAGCAATTCCTATATATGAAGAACTCAAAAACTATCGTGTAACTACTCTATTATTTTGAATTTTTGCAAACATTAATTTATTTCAAATTTTCTAAAAAATCGTTTATAAACAGCAATGTATTATTTTACTAGGCTTTGGTTAATCTATACGCTGAGTTGCAACAAGCATTTTCATTAGCGGATCAAATGAAAGTCAGTGGCAAGCGACGTCTTGGAACATATTTCAAAGTGTTTTTTTACGGGCCAGCGCATTTCAAGTGCTTATTTTACTATCCTCATTCTTGGCAATTCATAAATTCATAGTTACTATTTTTGAAAAGAAGTATTTTTCGTTCGATTAATAGTTCGGACTATTCCTTATTATTTTGATTTTCAGAGTCTTTTCATCTCGAATCTACTTTATTTCAGATGTCACCATGTTTTAGACTAATTATTGTAACTTTAGGGAACAACATAATACGGAGTGGATTTATCGTGAAGCAGGTCATACTTCCTTAGCAGAAGCTTGTGAACGTATGGTACACGCATGCCGCTGTGCCCTTGGCCATGATCGCATACAGATTATTACAGAAAAAGATGTATCGCTTACATTCATAAACTCATAGTTACTATTTTTGAGAAGAAATATTTTTGCATTTTCGAAATTCTAGTTTCAATCACCAAATAATGCTTTGAAATTCATCATTGGAACTCTAAGTATTAGTTTGCTGTTGTGGCATCACAGTTTTTTACACATTTATGAATTCTCGGGTAGCTTACAGTGTTCAACGCAATCTGGTGCCGAAAATATTGCTTTAAAATTATGAATCAAAAACATTTTATTTGTTTTAGATGAACAAGTCATTTGATGAAATGATAGCATATGTACAGATGACTCATGTTGAGCCATCTATTGCTAATCATGATATTAGCAGTTATGAAGCACATACAAATGTAAGGGATTTCGTTCATGAAGTTGCGATTATTGACGAAAATGTACCGGCCGATTCACCGCTAGTTGCACGACAAGCTCTTAAGCGCATTTTTATTACAGGTAAATTCTTTGGAGAAGCGATAAAAACTGCAGTATTATCCATTATTGCTCTATTTTTATTTAACGGATTGGATGCATAAGTATCTTAGGGATCTAACTTTGAAGATCGTGAATTCTATTCTTTTGCTTTGGAGTTACTTCCCAGTTGTGAAATCCAGAAGTTTGCGAGTTTTTAGTCGAAGATAGTTTCCCAAGTACTCGACGTCGTTCACGAGTCATTAAAAAAACGGAAAGTTTTTTATCACCTTTGGAATTTGCTTGTGAGAAATTACTTTTCAAATCGATGCAGTTAAACCGTGCAGTTTCTTCCGCCAGAGACCCACATAAACGTTTGGACATAAAAGGACTCCAGCTACTGCTACAAGGCGCAGTTCTACCAACCGTTAGCCTGATTTATTTTTTTTATTTACAGAATTTCCAACGTTTTTGCAATTCAGAAACCAATTTCATGACATTATTTTAAATACCTTGTAATTAAAAATATGATGCAACATTGTTCAAGCTTCATTAACGTTATCTTGTTCACTTTGATTACTGAGATGGAAATTTTAAAGGTGAATATTGGCCCTCTAGCTTATGCAGAAGCATTTACAGAGCTATCACAAATAGACCATTATGGTCTCAGTCATGTCGAAGATTTGGCTAATGCTTTCAGGTTTCTATAGAATTTTTAGTAGAATTAAAAAGTTGTAAGCTGATTTAGTTTTCTACTAACTTTTTTTAGTGATAAAATACTTAGAGTCATGTATATATATTGGTGATAGCAGTTGCTCTCAGATTCTTGATCTTGAGTTTAACAAATCATTGAAATCTTAATTAAATTAGCGCAGTTGATTCTTTTAGATCCCTTGTACTCGCTTGCGCAGAAGCTTTGAAGGTAAATGAAGCAGTGATTGGTGAAGATCAGGTTGCATATCATAATATGTTAAAAGATGCATTTGCTTCGATGATTTGCAGACTTCATCGTTGTTTTGGAAACATGGTTTGCATTTTAGTTGCAGCTTTGTGAATGGAATAATTGGATCTAAGAGAACTTTGTGACGTACTTTGTATTTTTTGCAGTTCGTGCTTGATGATGACCGACCTGACGACTTGTCTTTCTCTTCAGAAGAAATCATTTCAAGGAATTCAATGCACATATTGGACTCAATTGGTGGAACAGATAGCTGATGTGTAACGGAAAAAATCACATGGCTGTTTTTGCTGTTGTCCGTCAAACTATGACTAGGCTTACTATTGTATGTTCAAAGTAGATTAGACAATATTTGTAGCATTTCCGGACTTAGCCAAAGCTTATTTATTTTCCCACAAACATCCTCTCAAATTAATAAACTGCCGACTCATGAGTGTCGCATAGGAATTAAATTCAGGAGCTTAATCACATGCACCCCGTTCTACATCACGTTCATACATTTCGAAGTACGCTTACCACCTTTCTACCTGCACTCTCCGGCCTTATTTTATTAGCTGACATTTCTTGCGCATGTCTTCAAGAATTTTTGATGGACAAGCAAAATTTCAAAAAATTTTTCAAGGTTAGTTGTCTACTTTTTCACAGTTTAGAGAAGAGAATCATCAAACATTACTTGCCACTAGTTGGAAAAAATTACTGATGTATAAAAAAGTAAATTATCGTGTATTTCTATGATCAGGTATAACAAGAAATAATCCGGCTACTTCAAGGCATTGATGAACACTACTCTTCTTTAGTGAAAAATTCCATAACTGCAAATGTAAAAACGTATATGAATGACTAATACTATCTTCAGTGATTCCGTGAACTATAAATTTGTTGTTCTGCTATGGTATACTGAACAATTTGTTCTGATAATCAATAGAAGGACCCAAGGTTAAAAAAATTTGATTCTATGAGTGATAGTCTTCTGATCTACTTCTCACAATTTTTAATGGACAGGTAAAATTTCAAAAAATTTCTCAAGGTTAGTATAACAGTTTTCCCGAGACAAACTCACATGGTATGTGTCATTTCACTATACAGATATTATGTTTTAATGTCTTCAAAACAGTTACAATAGTGTTATATTTTAATCAAAGTCGAAACCAGTAGTGAATAAAAAAACTCAGTTTTCCCACATAATCCATTTTTTCTTTAGCATTCATGATCAGATACACTAAGAAAATATTTTTATTAGAAGAGTCAGCAACGTGCACCAATCGTTCACCTTACTGTGTTCCACCAGTTCCGTAATCCTTCCAACAGATAATTACCTTTATATGGATTAGTAAAAATTGTTTCAACGAAGGATGAAACGAACAAAGTACCTTTATCTGAAAACAAATTTTCATATGCATCTATATCGTCACTTATATATTTGCACGCTGTATGTATTTATCTGAAAATTTTATGCCCACGCACTAAAAAATGTCATCCTCACTTGTATGCAATTCCTACGTAGTGAATGAAAATTCAAAATTTTATTGTAAATTCAAAAATCTAAGATCAAAAAAGACTGGCTCTCTCAGGAACTTCAAAATGTGCAATGAAAGCATAACTCACCGCCAATAAACATTATCAGGTCAGCCAAAATCAAGCCAAATATCCTTAACAGAAGCCATATGTAGTAGACAAAATAATTGACAGTTTCCGCTGCATATTGCTTGTAAAAAATCATGAAATCTTCAAGCTGCAAAAATTAATAAAAGTCATAATATCGAAAAGTTTAGTGATGAAATTGTGCAATTTCAGCGAAATTAAGGTGCACTATAAAAGCATAAACATGAAGTACACACTAAATTCCTATTTCCGTAATTTTTTGATCGAGTTATTTTACACTAGATCAAAATGTAAAGAGTGCGGATTGAACACTTTAGAGTGTGAACACACGATTCTTTCAGTAAAATTAATTACTACCAAAACATTTACCTTACATAATGCATAACCGTGAACTAATAAGGCTAGCGAAAGCACTTTCATATAAATTGAATGAAAATAGCCTTTAGCAGAAGCAATCAAATCATTTTGTTCGCCGAGTTCTCTCCAAGCCGTACCGATAGATTCAATGTATGACTCCATCAACGATGAAACCGCAAAGAAATAATTATTGAAAATACTTGATGGCAGCTGAAATTACTTTTCACTCATACTTTAAAGCTTGACCCAAGTAATAATAACTCAATTTTTCCATTAATTTTTTTAAATGAAACTCTTCGTTACTAATAAGATTATTATTAATTGAGCTACATATAAAACGATTTTTAAACTAAAACTTTTCAATAAACGAATTTCAACATACTGTATGTTCTGTTAATAATGTTTGCCAATCTTCACAAAAAGGCTTCAATTGTGGAAACAATTGTCGAGAGTTAAAGCAATTAAACATTAATAAACCAGTGGCAAAAGTGAACGAAATCAGTGAAGCACAGAACAAGATCACAAAAAATCTCCACAGAAACGTGAAAACTGAACGACCGAAAATATGCTTGAGGTTAAGTGACATGGATTCATACTATCTATACATATCATTTTGAATTTTTGATTAGTGCTAGTGCATTATATTATTATCGAAAATCTTACTACTAAATTATTAATATTTAAGAAAATGATAAAAAGAGAAACAAATCAACAAACCACCGCTTGAATTTCTCTTCCCTTTCTTCTTGTTTTTAATATTTTTCTGCTCATTTATCTTCGGCACCTTCTGAGATCCTAAAATTGAAACTTTAAAAGCAATGTGGACAATAACTGCTAGTGAATATATATATTCACTTTGTTACCGTTTCGTTCAATTTGCTTGGCCACTACTTCTAATTGCTCATTTAACGATTCTGGAAGTTTCTGTTTCTTCTTCTTAATTTTATCTCTGTTAACGATTGGTTCATGAATAGTTTTTTCACTGTTCTGAAATTCTGAAAAAAACCGTAACTGTATATCAACTTCAAATTTTAATCTGCTTTCCCTTTTTAAAATTGCTCAATAAACTCTATAAATGTGCTTTCTTAGATGAGATAATATAAGTATTTATAGGTACTCTTATACAAATGAAATTCCAGCAAGTTAGAGGAAAAAATTTGACTCAATTCCACGTAATTTTGTCTACGGTAAAAATTATGAATAAATGAAGTACTTTTTGCGACCATATTTTGTTGTTCACGAGGTTGGTCCTTCCTAGCAGCTCGATGCTGCATAAGCTGTACAACATTTATAGCAGCTTGTTTGCAACCCTTGTCATCTGAACAATCACCTGCTGCTTTCGACAACTCTGCTCGCAATGGATTATCCTTCAGATCTAGCCATTTTAATGACACTAATTCACCGAAAGATAATGGCAGTTCCTGCAAAACATTCTGCCCCATAACAGCAACTAGTTTCTATGCGTTCATAATTAATGAAAAAGCACCTAGGCTGCAGATATCTTCAGTTTCCAGTTATTTTACCTTAATATTGTTCTTATACAAGTCAAGATGAACGAGGTTGATCAATTTGCCAAAGTCTTCAGGAAGTTGAACAATTTGATTCTTGCTGAGATCCAATTTAGTAACATGTATTAGAGAGCAAAACTCTACTGGCACTACAGATATCAAGTTATTCGAAAAGTCGAAATGAGTCGCACGTTGAATCTTACTCTAAAAATGATGAATACGAAAAAAAAAAACTGAAACTATTTGCTGCAAAATACTAAAGCATTCAGCGTGCAGTGATAAATTCTTTTAAAAGCACACTATTTAAAAGGAAAAATTAAATGGTATTTCGTAAACTGATAACAAAACTAACCAAAGCTTTAACTGGTATTTTCACTAACTGACGCATGCTTAAATCTAAATTATTTCCATTCAAAAGTGCTTTCAGTTTCTTCAAAGAAAGTTCCACTGCCATTGTATTCTATGCAGCACAAATATGTTATATGCAACATTTATTAATGAATATGCATTTTAAGTTTGAAACGATCACTGTATTTATATCAATAAATAACAAAGCCGAATTATAACCAAATTTAGCTAAAGAGTTTACATGACTGTTTTTTTTACTGGCATAATAGAATATAATAAATAATACATAAAAACTTCCTTAGCTACTGGATAAAATACAAATACCTGGTGATGTAGGCAAGTATCAAAGGTATTTGTAACAGATATAAAAAATGATTTACATTGTAAAGCAATGATTAACTCACTCAAAATTAAAGAATTATGAAAATATCAATTAGCATCTATTTCTTGGTGTAAAATACCGGGAAAACAGCATCATCGCGGTCATTCTAACTACCATACAAATAAAACCATATTACTAACTGTTTGCCTCAATAAATTGCAGTGAAAAGACATCTGATCATGATAAATACCTAGTATGGACGAAACAACAGTAATGTAAGGTACCAAAGGTAAATTCAAGAAATTGAACGCAACGAGCCGTCTGGTACTACGAAAAATTTTCAAACTTCTTTCAGACAAAAGTTCTCATCAAATCTCTCACTTTAAATCTCCCTAATGAATATTTAAATACGTAAATTGTATGAATAACCACGCAATACAACTAATGGACGACAACTGCATTACATCTGCAGTTCAAAACTGATTTGGAAGAGACTCAGATTTTATACCTGCCCAAAATGCAACTGAAATATCCCGCGAGCAAGTTAGATTTGTTACTTAAACATCACCTTGCAATGTCTTTATATTCATCCAGACGATCTATTTTCTTCCTTCTTGTGTTAGAATAGTTCATTCAAATTCTGACTAAATTTTTAGTTTCTACCATCCACTCATTTTCAAGTATTAATTTTTTTCAGTAATATCAGTGCTCATTCGCATCACATTACAAATATTGACATTTTTTAGTGACACAAAGTACCGAAGTAAGTCAGTGATTTGTCAGTGATAAACAGCAGGATTAGTAGATCACTCATGAAATGCACAATTCACACGTTTTGAAAAATGGATTTATCGAGTAGCTCCACAAGGTGCGATTGCTTCTTGCCGGTCATCGGGTGGAAAGATAGAATCGAAGAACTTTTCAAGCACTCCACAAATTGGTCGTGAAGTGACATACCAAAAGCTGTTATTATTCCAGCTTGCTTCTTCAATTCCTTTCGCGGTACTTATTGTACAGTCAGGCGGTAGCATCTCCAGTAGTTCACTTTCTGATATCATGCAGGCTGTATTTGTATCTGCAAAGCTACTTTATTTTCTTTAGTGAGAGATTATTCAAGTATGAATTTGAATTCTTTTAGTTGAATTCTTTTTTGGACTGATACTGTGAGAGAGCATGCACTGGTATCGAATGATATTAATCTCAATTCCTGGCCATAGTTTGGAATTTGAAATTTAGCAGTAAATAGTAAAACGTTTGCTTATAGCTAACAATAGAATGACAGCTACTAGCTACATGCTGAATACTGTCTTTAGTTATTATATTCAATTTTATTGATTAAATAATTCTTCCGATTTTTTCACCCAGTGAATACAAATGCCGAAGCAAAAATCGGATTCTGTAGTAGAGGGCTTTTAAATATTCCTGCCTTACTAACTATATATGGGAAAAAATTATCGTCATAAATTAGACAAGTTTACCGCTATCAATTTGATGTGCAGTAACAGTGTCAGAATCATCAACCGTCAATACGGGATATTGTTGCGCTTGAATTATTAGAGCCATACAGGGAAGATCCAGAACCGTCTGAATTGTTATTTTTTTAGATTACTTAAAGAATATTGGGGTTTTCTAAATGACTAATTTTGATCAGAAATGTAAATGTTCATTTCTAATTGTGTGAGAGCTAATTATTTCTTTCGAATCTAACATTTTATTTCTTCTTCCTGAAATATTCAAAACTTTTATTTTCAAAAGGGGATAGAAAGATGACATATTATATCTGTAAGTATATTATTGCTATATTCACGTAAAAATTTCACTTTGTCATTTATCACAAAAAGGAATGTACAGTACTCAATAGTTTATTTTCAATAGTGTTTTGTTTACAATTATTACAAAGAATTTTTGCAGTAAAATTATAGGTGTTATTGTAATCAAAGTAGTGTGTACTGTACTATCATTCGTCATGCTTTGTTTCCGTGAAAAAAAAATGTAAAATGGATGGAAGACTTGCAGATTTGTCGAATTAATCTGTCATTTTCAATTATACCTCCAGAGGAGTAAAGCCTTTGCTTGTTTTGATTTTCAGTGTTTGAGCAAGTTGGTTGTGTGATTCCTTAGATTCGTCTGTAGGTGACAGAAACCAGCGGCGACAATCAGCTTCAGTTTTTCTATTGACAGTACGGCAATAAATTTTCAACGTTTGTTTCTGAAAAATTGTAGAATCTTTATTGCTGTTGTTAAGATCTAAACGATTATGTTGTATTAACAATAAAAATTTTGCACGAACTTTATTCTCGTAAAATTTAATATCGTCAAATTATCGTGATTTTGAGATACATTAAGTCAAGTATAATGTCAAATGGGTAAAACAAAGTAGAGAGTATGCGTGTGCCACGTGGTAATGCTTGCAGTTTTTAGGTGTATTCGTAATAACATGATTTATGAATGACTTGATGTGAATTTATTATTCATGTATCTTTCAAGACGAAAAAGAAATAGTGTCGCTTAAGCGACTTTAAATAAAATAAGTAATTATGAGGTTCTTTCTAAAAATTTTCAAAGTCATCACCAATGCTTTTTATCACTGTACTAAAGAATATATTTCAGAATTTGGGCCTAAATTTTTGTGAAACATTTAAATTCGAGTTACGGTTTAACACTACCGATGCATTTTTTGCGCTATTAAAGCGCAGCAAAACCGACTGAGTATGCCCAGCACGAAGAAATCCTTGACTTGGTTCTGGTACCAATGCCGCGCTATTTGTTCGCAGCTGAAATATCGCGTAAATATTACGTAAATCAAAATTCTTACCTAATTACTACGAATAATTTCTGAAGAATCATGCACAAACGTTTATAATCACTCACTGATGAGTGAGGACTGTAGATCATTTGATTAAAAAACGAGATATCAAGTTCATATAATTGGTGCTATGTTGTGTGCGTTGTTAAATTATCAGAATTACTAAATTAATTTCAAAGGTTCAAAGTGCAAGAAGAAAGCACTGTTTATATTTTCTGCATCTACTTGATTCCGTACTAATTCTTTGATCTCTCATACTACATAAATATGTCGTAGAATATTCTCTGCTTGAATTTATTTCAATTGTTTGTTCTTCATCGCTTCTGTACCTTTACAGCAAAATCCATTCTGGTAGCATTGCGAAGAAGTAAGCGTCGGACTACTAGTTTGTTTGCTGTCGGGAAAATAATTTCTTTAGGGTATGACATGATTTCTGCAAACAGAAAATTTCATACTTCAATTTTGTATACCATTACTTCTTTGAAAACAATAATAATAATTTTATCCTCATCTCTCTAAAAATCAAGTGATCAAAATTATTATACGTATCACTTCTGATCACATAATTTCCGTTTACTTAATCTTTTATGTATTAAAAGAATGATGGAGAATGTTGATTTTAAAACAATTAGTTCCTTACAGAATGCTGAATGTTCCAAAATATACCTTATGTAATGGCCTATCCAGTCATTCAAGAACTCACCGTAGCATATGTGTTAAAAGATATCAATGAATGATATTTACTGACTTCTCACCTTTAATTATTAGTAAAATTTTCCTATTTTTAGAAATAAATTCTGAATTTTTTTCATAAATTTACTGCTTGTATTCATTGTATAATTTTTGCATTTTATAATCATAAAATTATGAAAATGGCAGAAAATTTCTCGAATTTCAAAGTTGTGAAAGCATAAAAATAATGTCAATTAATCAGTTTGTGCGAGTCATATAATTACAACTCTATCAGTTATTCCTTCTGTCAAATCTTAGACAGTTTCTGAAAATTTATTTATAATTTAGATGTGCAAGCATCTTATGCTGACATTCATTGCAACATTCAATTAGTTATAGAAAGAGTAAGTATAATAACGTCAAAGCGTGCTCGCAAATAATGATTATCCTATATGTTTCATATTTATTGAAAGACTTGGTTGAAGAAAGATTACTTTTTATTTTTATATACATGATATATTCAAATTCAGCTTTACATTTTGACAAAGTATCGTAGCAGACTTTGCATTTGGAAAACTGTGATGAAGTGTGGCAAGTAATGTGCTTTAGCGTAACGAGAAGATTCAGAATCGTCGAAAATGAAGAAAGAATTCAAATAGCTCACTTTATAAGGTTAGAAATAAATTTATTGTTCGCAATTATAGAACTGGTTTTGTGCTGCTTGTGGATGTGAAAATGGAGAACAGTTATCAAAACTAAAAATATCGAGGCAGAAAATTATTTTTTAAGGATGATTGTGGAATTTCTATTTATCCCCTTCGATTATTTTGATGATTACTGCTAACTTAATGATGGAGTATTGCGTAGACTGACATCATTAAGAATGTTTGGAATCATTTGAGAGAAGGAGTCCCTGCGTGTACTTGGCAGTCAGTCCTTCCTGAAGGGCCTTATATGGCATATTTTTTCTTGCTTCAGTTGTTGTGAGACGATTTTTTATCAAAATTTAAATATTTTTCAGTACTTAATCCGATATTTAAGGAGACTTTGTATTGATTGAATCAATTTAGCCTCTGATTTATCAAGAATGCCACAAAAGTAGAAAAAAGGTTGAAGAAGTAAAAAGATGAAATGAAACAGAAGAAAATATCTGTAAAGAAAAATTAAAAATTTATTAAAAAGGAGCTGAAAAATGCTAAAAAAGTCGACAAATATAAGAAATGAAAATAAATTGCAGAAATATTCTGTTTCATTTTTGTAATTAATGATGCCTTTAGTCTTAGTTTTGCGCCGAAAATTAATTGTTTCTTCGATTGCTCAGAAGTGCGCAGTATATTCACTTGCAAATCAAGCGAAGGAGTACATCCGTTTTTGTTTATGGATTGTATTAGAATGATAAATAAGTGAAGAACACAAATAAATAAAGAATATTTTTTTAATGATGAAAATTAAGAAAGTATCTCAGAAGGCTGAAATATTTTTGGAGTGTGATGCACTCATCTGATACTCAGCAAAAGTAGGAACCAAAAGCATTCTCTGTCATGTAAAGCTGTTCCTTGTAGGAAATCGTCGTAATGCGAACGTAGAGATAAAAGGTAAGACGTGAGTAAGAATATTGATTACAATAAGTGCAGATTAACAGGATATCCTGAGGCATGGCAAGAAGCAACGTGAAGTAATCATGGTGGAGGTTGGCACCACTATTCGGTCAAGTCACGTTGATTGCAGTCGAGACCAAGAAAAGGCGAAAATACGGCATGCTCGTTAATAAATTCGGTAATGCAGAATGAAAACAGTTCTGTTTGTAATGGCGTGGGATTGTATAGTAATAAACTTCCGTGAACGCTGTGTAAAGAAAAAAAATCATTCGAAATATATATCTAATCGATAAAGTTCAAGAAGACATTTGAAGGCATTCCTTTGACCATAGCCTTGACCTCACTACGATTATTATTGAGACTATAGTGTAAATATTAAATAGAAAGGTGCATGCCATTGGTCATACAAGCTACTTTTGTGTTACGGTGTGATCCAATAACAATATTTTATTAGCGCGATAAGTGAGCAAACGTGAAAGTCTCAATCTTTCTTATCACAGAGTTCCACTTGAAAAACTAAAGTTGGAACTTAATTCATTATACCATGCGTGCTGCGCGATGATATTTGAGTGGTACCAATTTTCGAGCGCACTTGCTCCATATCACTCTTTGAACTAACTGACTTGCCTGGTTATAGTGTGGTAGATTAAATTTATTTTTATTGGTACTCCAATATAATTCGAAATTAATCGGTAGTGAAGAGCAACGACTTTTTGTGTGTTTTGATTCATGTCAGGAGCAGTTTTGAAGATTTTTTCAGAATATAATCTTCAGTCTTTAAATTTAATGCTACTGAGCTTGATTTAGCTGTGCTAGAATTTATGGCTAGCACATTTGGAGCGAAGTAAATTTTCTTCAACGGAAGGGACTGCATATTTTTCAAGAAAACCCAAAATTTTTATATAGTTGTAATATGATTTTCCGAAAGACAGCAGACGAGCAAGAAGTGACTGCATACTTGCGAACTTCACGTTGCAGTCAACTTGCGCAATGAAGAAGTGAGGTCATAGAATAAAATATGCCCTTCAGTACGTCGGCTTCGCTACCGTATTATTAGTACATCTGCCGGGTCCCACAGCAAATACTGCTCAAGCAACTTTTGTCTGCAATGTTCACTTTGTGTATGCACGCGTGTTTATCGGATTTCAGTACTACCCAAAGGTTTTAGCAAAAAAAAGTTTAATCAAATCGCATAAATGGATGGGATTATTAACTTACTGTTAAAAGACTGGCACTGAGTTTTGGCAAGGATAAGTTTGATCGCTGTTTGATCCACTGATTTTGTCAGTTGTACTGTTCACTGAACACATTTTTCTGAAGGTTACAATCATTCTTTGACATTATCATTCTGAGCAAGTTAGATTTCTCAAAGCTTTGTTCAATGGATTCTTATATGTATTTAAAGTTAGCAACCACTGCATTTTACATTTTATATTTCACAGAACTTGGCATTTGGCCCAGTTTCAAATCAATATCGGATTCATGAAATACAGATACAAGCTAAAATTTATTTGACAGGCGCAGATACAATAAGAAGTACATAACTGACATGATTAATAAGAGGTAGGATATTTTTCCATGGGTAAACTAGATAAAAATTGCTAATTTGGGTCAGTGAAATGGAAATGATGGAGATATTGACAGATTCATCTGGCAAAAACATGAGGACAAGGAATTTACCTAAGGAATTTGTTGGGTCATCAGGGAGCACGCCAGAGAAATATTGAGACGTACGAATGAGACTAGAATGATTAGAATGAATACGTAATTATGATCAAATTGAATTCAAAATGTTCCAATTAATATATTTTCTGGAATAAAAATTACGTTTGGCCCTTTTTGAAAAAGGTTTTCCGAGTATTAATGCAAAAAATTTCTACAGAATAAACGTAATTGATATTTTTAACTGCACGCATTTCCAAAATCCAATCGTCACACATTTTTGTGCTAAAATTTTATTCTGCTGAGAAAATTCACGCCTTAAAAATAACATTTTCTCCTTGTATCTAAAATCATTCATTAATAATGCCGAGAAACCAATTGCCAGCCATCCAATACAAGTGTAATTAAATTTTCAAACAATCGTTTTTTGCACCTTTTACTGTATAAAATTAATTCATAAATAAAATTTTTAAATATTTGAATTCTGTACTAATTTTTCTCAGGCAAAATAATGAAAATAATGTTGAGCAAAGATTGATTTTATTCTGAATCGCTCGTCGAAATGTACTGATTGCATCAAATTGTGGTGAATAAATTACAGTTCAATTATGCTAGCAACTTTTTAACTTCTGTATTAGTAATAGAATGACTGAAATCAGCAAATGAAAAGAATTATGGACAGAATGTAGAGAGTTCAAGGAGAAAAATGCTGAAGTAAATACGTGTAGCGAAGTAATGACATCACCTACAACTTCCGAGTTTTTCAGCATAGACTCGAAGAGAAAACGAAAATCACAAATCACTCTTTTGACTTACTTAACTTGTTACTGAATCTTTTGGCTATCTGAATGCAAAAAATGAAAGCAAGTTTGAAATAAAATCACTTCTTTGAATGTGTCGTTTTCAGTGTCATTTACTTCTGCTAAATGTTGCCAACTTGAAAACAAAGTCACAACTCAATAATTTATGAATCTCATGCATCTGAAGTAATGATGCTCTGCTACTTGTGATCATTGTTAATCATATTCAGCTATAGTCTTAGAATTTTACGACAGTTCTTAGATTTGTGCATAAAGAAACAAAAAATGCAAAAAAATGACTAATTTTTGTCCTTTTAGATACTAAAGATTCTTGTTACAGCCATCACAATTATTAATTATGTCAAGCTTGTTAGCAGAATGCATACTTGGTATTGTGCATGTGTATATAATTTCGAACTTCATGAGTGATGTTGCTTAAAAACAAAAATCTTTATCAATTTAATAATAGAATTAGCAGTTATCAAGATGTAAACTTTTGCACACAAATATCATTCTTATCAATTCCGGACCACCATTACTGTAATTACAGTTTCAAAGTTAAAGTAATAAGCATCAGATTCAACAATTTAATCAGAACTGTAAACAGGCAAGTAAAAATATTCACGCATGCATAAATAAGTGATTCATTGATTTGATTTCGTTTGTTTCTATCTATTATTCATTTTTTTCGTAAAAAAATTGATTCAAGCTTTTTATGTCAAAAGTACTGAATTTATGCTTCAGACGTTGTAAGTGATGAATTTTTTGCCAATGATTCATATTATTTTGTAAAAAATTAAGGTCAAATTCAAAAAGCTTTTTTGCTTCCGGCATCTTTTATCATTTGAATCACAAATCGTGAAGAGATTTTTAGAATCGCTTTTTTATTCATCGATTCTTTGATAAGCACTGAAGCATAGAGCAAACAAAGCGGAACTGACAATTTTTCTTATAAAGTGATTTCTGTTATATTGGATTCTAAGTTCAAAGTCCCATTGGTGCTGAGTATTTCTCAAGCTATTTGCAAGTATAAATAGTAAGTTTTTTGTTTGCACTTTTCAGCTAAATTTATTGCAACTTTTAAACATTCAAAAAGTATGTTTTATCAGCTATTTATATCACAAAGCAGAAAATCAAACAAGAGATAGATACTGAAGCTGGCCGAGACCACTTTGTAGAAAGAAGCACTTAATTGGTAGCTAGAACAATCCTGACGAACAGATTCTGTTCTATTCTTCCACCCTTTGCGTCAAGCATATTCAAAATGCTTTTTTCCTTCATATCCATTATCTGCCCTCGAAGTTGATTTGTAAACAAACTTGATCAGTCAATTATTTGAAATATTTCTAGCATAAATACGAATCATAAGTGCAGCTTGTAAGAAAATGTAATTTATGAGACTGAAAAAATGACCAATCCTTCTAAGTAGAGAAAAAATAATTATGATGAAGTAATACACGTTATATCGTACTATCGTACTTCAAAGAAATAATAGTCTGACATAAGCAAGCTCGCTTAACCTGTGAATCATTTATTCACCGTCATAATTCTTCGGGGATTCTAGATCGGCAAAAGCAGAAACAACGCTTGCAAACAAGCAGCTGTCATATCCTCTCTGCCCAACCATTTCGTTCCTTCTTTGAAAAACTTAAAACTTCTCGTCTTTGCGATGCAATTTATTTTGTGTGCATTGTTCGATTTCTGGAACAAAAACCCCAATTTCGGGGTTAGAAGTTTCCTCAATTTCTGGAAAGAAATCGACATCTTCAGAATTCTATTTTTTCAGGACGAAGCCTTTTTGCGCTCTATCACAATTACATTTCTATTTCTTTTCTAATTTTCACTAAAATAATATGAATAATTCAATTTTTACTTTCCAACTTTAAGCTTTGAACTTGACTGTTTCGAACTTGCAAACTAATTACTTAATTAATTAGTTATTTATTTAAAGTCATACTTTCGCTATTATTTCATATATATACTTACTAATTGTTTAATATTACTTTTATTTTTTTAAATTAATTTGTTGGTAAGGGAGTGAGTTTTGAAATATATATTCCCCTTTTTTATTCAATGATTTCTTTTACTTCAGGCAAAATCTGCATGGCCTATCGACTTGCGTGGAAACAAAACGGTGGTTCGAAGTAATCTTTACATATTATAATATTTAATTAGTATTCATGATTACTCTGCTGAAATAATTAGCGCTGGAGCTCAGCTGTTGATTAATTATTATGACAAATTTTATTAGAGGCCATGTTACTATTACTCATTCTAAACGTCCAATTAATTTAATTAACAATACAAGTGCGCAACAAACTCGCTATTTTCCAGAAGAATAAATAAGTTGAAAATTGAAGAAACAAAAAGCTAAAAGATTTACAAAAAATTATTTCAGAAATATGTCAGAATGGGTACCGCCATTACGAGTGATTTCTGTGGTAACTTTACTGTCATCAACGTTGGACCTGGTAGCTGATTTTTTATTATGCATCAAGTTTGTCTTTGGTTTGCTTTGATAATCTTTTAAACTTCATGCAGACTCTGCACTGTTCTGAGGAAGTCATCAATTTAAAACAATGCATACCTGAAAAGGTACAACTAATTTAAATTGAGCAAAACCAGTGTTAAGAATTCAAGTCTTGAATTAAAATTACATTAGTAACGATTGAAATTTTCTGGTTTAATGAGGACAAATTACAAAATTTAAGCTTGAAAAGGTGTTTACTATTTAATTAAATGGAAAAAATTCATTTCAGATATTACATTTACTGTTAAATTTTAAATCACTTGAAAATGTCCTTCAATAATAATAACTGATTATATTAATAACACTTCTATCATTAAGTAATAACATTTTATATCATTGAATAAATCAGTAACAGCAAATATTAACGATAACGATATGATACGCTACATTGCGAATCAATATATTGCAGATTATTAAAATGTAAACGAAAATTTCGTTTATTAAATTATAAAATATTTCTCGTCGATAATTTCCATGCATTTTTATACTAATTGCAATCAACCAACTTTTAGAATAGCAGAATTCTTGCCCAATTTTCAAAATGAAGTAGCGTTCTTGGCCGCTTATGGTTATTTTTTTTTCACCGGTGTTTCTGTAATTGTTTACGTATTTGAAATGAGCGACGTTTGCTTGACGTTGAAAAACGATTACGAGAATATCTTCATGGCGCGACTAGCTAAATCACTAGTGCTTGCTGCGGAAGAAGTGAATTTATTTACATTTTTAAATTTGCCTTTGCTGTTTATCAATCAGAGATTCCTTCTAGATAGGTACAATTTGAGTTAGACTTATTATTAGAACAAAATTCGATCTCTTGAAAGTGTTATTGTTAGAATAATAACGAGTTTTGCAATCAACCCTTTTTCTTTCAATTTTTTACAACAATTTTTTGCGACGGAATACAGGCAGAAAGTGAATTACTCCTTCGTAGAGCAGTTAAATTTTTACACTTTCAGCAATTTCGAAGACTTCGAAAGTCAACGTTTCATTTTCTTTTCTTTTTTCAACGTAAAGATTTAAAAATTACTTCACTTTACTTAACTTGTCAGAACTTAACTTTCTTCTGAAAGTGAAATTTTTGAAACAAAAGTTAATCAGTCAAAGTTTCCGTAAATCATTCATAATGACTGTGCAGTGTAAAGATGCAAGGAAGAAATATTCAGTGGAAGCTCTGTACTTCAGCAGATCATTGCCATCAAAAAGTTCAAATGCGAAAAATTTTTTTTTGAAAAGTTCAGATGGAAAAAATGTAAAGTAATTCAAAACTGGAAACTCTTATGCAGTAAGAAATCATTTGGGTAGTAAATGTAAAGTGAAGAAGACAAAAGTATCAATTGCTTGAATAGATAACTTTTATGGTTTGTAGCATTCATGTTTTTAGGTTCCACTGCCAATTTTTTTAAATATTCTATTCACTTATGAACCACGTATGTCTATAGCAAATCCAGCTTACCTTGCATCCTGGATTAAATTAATAGCATTAACATGGGGCATTGTCAAATTTACAAAATTACGATTTTTTTGGTGTTGTTTACCGTTGAATCCGAAACATGACACCATGTAAGGTTTTTTTTCTATTTCTTTTTTATTTGTATCTAGTTTTATTTTTTCAATACCTTTCATGGTATTTGTCCAATTTATTTATTCATTCGTTTGATCAATTAATTAATTTATCGAACTTTATATATATAAGTATTAAAAAAAACAATGATTTCCCTTGAAGTTTTCTAATATGCATTCGCGGAGGGTTTTTGCTTTAAGCAATTTATTAAAACTTTATTTAAAAATATTCTCATCGTTCTGCTCGATAAATCTCATTACTAATTTAAGCTTTAATTTACTGAAGGCTTACTTCCATTGAAAGCAATAAATAGCAAATAAATTCTAAAAGCTAATTCAATGCCAGCATATTTTTCATCTGCATTCCATTCAAGTGTTTAAATTTACAGGGAAAATTTCCGACGATGCTTTACTTGTACATTATATCGCATTACAATGATTTTTGTGAATATTTGTCATATCATTGCTATACTCATTGTTATTAATAATATTGTGCTAACCAGCAAAGGGGGCAAACGCATCACATACAGTAAAGTTTAATTTCAGAAGGTAGCGAATTGCATTTATGATTTTATCTCTCTTTTAAGCGCTGAATCATCGAACAATTTCAGATAATCCAAGCGTTACTGTATGTGAAGTTGACATTTCCGTTACTTTTTTTATTGTTCAATCTCATTAAAGAGCGAAAAAGTAAACACTAAACAGAAACTGACCTTTGACTTCAAAGATATAAAAATGAAAAACACAAAATACACTTTACATTCTACGTTTCTGGCTACAGTACATTTATGCTACAAGTCAAATGATAAAGCCACTATCCTTGCAAATTATTGATCACTCATCAATTAAAAATATTTGAAACTAATGCATAAAATTAACAATTCTGACTGTTGAATGACAGGAGTTGAAAGCAAATGAAAGCATTTCTCCACGTAAGTTAATTTTAGTCTCTTAACTCAACTTCACTCATACACTTTTGCACGCCAATTTTAGTGAAAAAAATTTCTGCTTCTCAAAAATTCCTCTTTGCTATGAGGACTCGATGAGATACGCAATGTTGCGTACTGACTACGTATATTGCCATTTTCCACGCCGAATTTTATAAATGTCACTTCAATGATAGTTTGGATGGAAGCAATCATTCAGAAGTGCAGCTAGTAGCGTGTAATTACGTCTTTATTTCCTATGGTTTTGGTGACTTGTGTGTGGTATGTATATGTTCTACATCACTATGAACAAAATCACGTAAATACTCGTTTAATTCAAATACATTCACGCGCAAGCATGTGAAGCTTCATGAAAGTTCATGACGTTTAGAAAACGAACGTATCCACTTGTTGACCTCTCTTAGCTTCTTACCTTCAAGCTTTTCAGCAGCCAAATACCGCACTATGCAGTCGTTTTTTGCTTACTTTTCATTTCTCTGTCAGATTTTTTATTTTCAGATTGTAACCAACACAGCACTTTACTACTTTTGGTTTCACACATTCTCAGTAATAATCTTTTCTTTCTTTCCGCTCATCACACGCACGTCTTTCTTCTCTACCTTTTCCCTTGTGTCGTTTTCGTTTATTCAAAAATACTACAAGAGGGGCACATAAGCATTACCGTCACTTCTCACTTCTTCCAGGTCTCCTTTGAAGTGGTAAGTTCTTCAAAAACGCGTTCTCAGTCCTTAGATAGCTTATCTGATTGATTGATTGATTGCTGGAATGTTCTCTCGCATCACTACCATCTTCACCGTTCTGGCATTCTTGACCATTGATACCACTGCTTTTGTTGTAGTACATGATCACAGTAGTAGTGTCAACATTGACTTCCATAGCACTAGCCATGGCAGATAAAGTAGAACAAAACCAGATATAGCGAAAAAAACGAAGATTTCGAGGATCAAGCAGATTTTGTTGTCTGTAGTTACCTGAAACTCATGTCACTTTACTTGCCACTTACCTCTCGTTATTTACAGTGACGTGGAGAAGTGTAATTATATTTGGTTCGCAAATGCATTTGTTCTAACATTTATGTTTGCTTTTTCATAGTCAAAACTAATAAGCATCCCAGATGACTCTGGAATGCTTACTTTTTTGGACTGTGAAGATGTCTGGAACTTCCTGTTTTTTGGTATTTGAATTGCTGATTACTTCTTTCCAATTAGAAATTTGGAATTTGTGCATCAAAAATTAACTCTCTGTAATTGCTTTCATTTCAGTACATCTACGTAATAATGCTTGTACACTAAGGAATAGTTTGAAGTATATTACGCAACAGTTAAGGCTGGTTCAGAGAAATGTAAGTAATCCGTTCAAAGCAAATTATTTAGTACATTACTCAATAATGCATTCCATGTCTCGGTTGGATAGATCCAGTACTGCCTGGTCTAGGGATTGGTGTTCTGATGCAATGCTTCGATCTCATGGTTTACTCAAAGTTTGTTTTCTTTTAATTTTACAACATGTATTTCAAGTTACTATGTAATAGGCTGTTTTAGCTCTCTGATAAATTTCATATTCACTAATAATTTTCATTATTTTTAGATTATCAGCGTTGCTGGACATAAGTTTTCAGTCTCAAATTGCTTAAAATGTAAAACAAAAAAGAAGGCTGCTGCATCTATTTCAGCTTTTTAATTTGTTAAAATTTTCAGTGTTTAGCCCAATGTCATGTTGTTCTTGGCCTAATAATTTTCATATTAGCTGCATTAGCAGATTATGTGAGTTCAAGAATTCATACAATTAGAATGATTGGTCTCGAAGAATGCTGCTCATTCTACTTCATTTTGACGGGGTATATATTTATCTAACTTTTCTTCACATCAAAAACTTATCATTCCCAAAAAATCGTATATCAGTTGGATTTAATACGTAATACTTAATACTACTATTAGAAGGCTTACAGATATTGTATTCAGTTTACCCACTCGTATGGTGCAAGACAAGTCATTTTTAAATACTCTTTATAGGATTTGACAAACTAAAATCTCAATATTTTTGTTGAATTGGACGTAAATTCTCGTAACGGAAAAATTGCTATTTAAATCGTATTTGTTTAGTATAATTGGAATTTGTGGTGCGGCCAGTCGTCGTCGTGCTTTGATATTGGGATTCATGATAATGAGCTTGCATGCTAGCTTAATTTTCGCACCGGCAATAATTATTGTTTCAAGCTTCGACATACATTTTTATCAGGTTTGCTTTGTAACTTGTAAAGAAATCTGTATTGCAGTCGAATTTTTGTTGCCAAATTTATTTCTGTTTTCTAGGCTGAGTGTTTCGGTGAATGTGATTGGCACCTATTAGGAACGAGTCTACCACAAAATAGCAGATGTCAAATTCTTTGTGGTGAAAATATTGATGACAATAGGAGAAAGTATCAGTGTTTTATTATTAAGCTATTGCTATGTTAAAAGAAAGCTAATATGAGTGTCGTGTAATGCTTACTTCAAAATGATTCTCGACTATTCTTAAATCAAGTATTTCATATATATAAAATTTATAACAATTTGTTTTAGAATATAATAGTCGAATGAATTCAGCTAATGAATCGTTTTCTAGTTCGATGACACGACTTGGGACTGAATATCGACTAGATGCTGGTATTATCGCAGCAACAATATTGCAGTTGATATTGTTCTTGGTATCTGCTTTTGTTTGTTGTCGCGAAATATGTGTTAGTTATCGATCAGTCATCAAAAGCGAAAACGTTAGTTTTTGAAAAGCTTTTTCAGATTGACAGTAGTACTGGGAAGTAATCGTACCTGCTTGCATTTCAGTTCTGATTTGTCGGTTTTTGCTTTCCTCAAAAACTTTTCTCTTAATTCTACCACTTTATGTATCAAAACTTTCAAATCTTTTAGAAGAATGTGATTAGCAAGGTTAAGTTTTTTAACTCGATACATTGAAATATAACAAAAATTTCATGTAAGAATCAGCAAATGGATATGATGACACCGCTAAAACTACCAGACAGCACAATAAATTGATGAAATGGATTCCTTCTCTACATCAAAAGAGCAGGAGTTACTCCATAATAAATGTAAACTGGTTTCGTAGTCTAGCTTGATCATTTGGTTCTTTGTATTTCTTGTTAGTCACAAATGAAACAAGATAAAGCATCAGGATAGCTTGAGACAAATCAAGAAATGGTTGTAAATAATTTTCATTCGTTGTTTTCCTTCTCACAAGTAGCTTGTTGTGTTTGTTTTTAAAATTCTACTGATGTTCATCTTTTTCACATCTCACAAATTCCGTCGTTAATGTAGACCAAAAACTGCTAGTGGAGTGTATAGTATACTTCACAGCAGTTATCATCATTCTGTCGCATAATACTTATGCTTTTGTGGAGTTGTAGATAGTTTTGGACTAGATATTATTATTAATCTTAAGTAATATTTGGTCTCAAAAATCAATATCACAAGACTTATATATATGTAGTTATTTCCATCTTATGCAGACACCTCAATGTATTTTTGTCTCAGATCATTTTTGTGCCGGTGTTATCGGAATTATTTTATTGTTTTTCGACGTTGTTATTCGGTGGAATCATCTGCTGCTATTTATTTGTGATGTAATTTGTAAAAAATATAATGTCATATGTAATTAACATGTAATTACACATTACCATATCAGATTCGCACTTCATAAACTTTCTGTAAGCAGCTAACTTGCTGTTATTAAAGTCTGGACAGGAAAATGAAGCAGGCTGAAGTTCCTCTATTCAGGATGAGAAATGAAAATTTAAAATCTGAAGCAGCGACAAACATACAAGAGGGATGGATATTAGGGGTTCTCTATTCTTCGGATTACTAAGACGAGGGAATCCTAATGTGACTAATGCCACGGATATGGGGCGTTTGTATAGAAAGCAAGCAAGCAAGTATTGCTTGCTGGTTGGGACAGAAATCAAGAAGGGTAATCTCACCTTTTCTTACTATTTCATGTGCGGTCAAACAAAGTTTATTTTTTATGCACATTGTTAATTTGGTTTGAAATCGTTATAAATAGATTTGAATTAGTTTGATTACAACAAGAAGAAAGTGATGAGAAGGGAAGGTATTTTACTACATATTTGTTGACGCATGTGTGAAAGTCCTGAAATATTCATGCTAATGCTGCAAATTCCTAAAAGCCTCTCTGAAATTAACTGACTACTGAGAACTTTTAATAAAAACTGAAATGCCTTAATCAGATTTTAGACTAGTAAAATAGAGTAAAAAATTCAAGAATGGCGTTATTCATCACTATTGTACTATGAAATATGGTTTTTGGTATGTATGGTTTGATGATAGTTTGTGAAAGATTGGAATAGTAATGATTGTCATGAAGCAGCATCTGTTCAGTGGATATCTTTCTGATGTCAGGGAGATAACGCAAATTCTTATTTTATCCATAATAACACTTTTGACTACTGTAAAATCATGGTTATTCAGCTAAGGCAAGTTAAGTAATCAGATCCGTGCCTGATGGCAATTTACCACTCGCTAAGTTATGACTTGTGCATTTATGACTGATGGAATTGTGTTGTAGATGTCTTAGGTGACTGGCTACTGATCATATCACGTATGTAATGAGCAGATTAATTATTAGTTAACATGACTGTAAATTTAACATTTCGAAATTAAGGCTCAGATCGTTCTAAATTGCGCTGAATAGAGTTTCTGTGAATTTTTAAATGCGTTGATTGCCATTTTATACGAAAGTTAACTTCAGAAATTTGTGCAATTCAATTCTTAAATTTCACTTATATGAAATGCGTAAAATCCAAGTATTCATTTGAGTGAAATTTTCTCTAAAGAACTCTCATGACTTGAAGTTTTTGGTACTTAAGAGAGTAATAACAGAGAATATATGATTTAAATTGGTCTGAAATATGTGATTCCATAATTCTAATTTATTCAAGAGTTAACATTGTATTTAAAATTTTAGCAAGGAAATACTCTGATTAATACAGCAATAAATAAGTAGAACACATGCAAATTAATCCTCATAAGTATGCGAAAAATGCAAATTAATTTCCACAAAATGTCACGAGCTTTTATTTGGATGTCAGCTCTCGCCTTCTATGAACAGTACGCTGAAAAACATTACACTACACGTAGTATATACTAAAGAAGTGATGAGCCATAATTGTATTTCAAATACGAAAGTAATCGAATGTCTTGCCATGTCACGTCAGAAGAATTTCTATATTATAACAATTTTATAATTTATTAATATTATTATTTATGAAAAATTTATTTGATTAAAGCATTAAATTTGTCAGAAATTACTTGCAAGTATTTGCTGACCTGAAAAAATTACTTCTATTTCTAATAGTCAAAAGAGTATCATTCTGGGAAACTTTAAAAGGCTTTTTCATCATTTAATATTTATGAAAAAATGTAAAGTAAAAATAAATGGCATGTTTATGTTAATCAAATTTTTTGTATTATAAGTTACAAGAAATGACAAGAAATGAGTGCGGAATTCAGTTGCTAATCATTTTTACAATTTTTATTCCAAGCTAAGAATTGAAATTAATGTCATTTTTAGTTGTAACAAAAAATTTCCTCACTTTTATTTAGAAAATTAGTATTATTTAATAAAAAAACCTTAGACAAAATACATCAAGCCTTACAAACTAATGCATTTTAACAGCTAAATTATAAGTTAATCGAAAGTCTGATAATTAAAATTGATAAAAGTATTAGTTTTAATTTGTTCATTCAGTCTCTATTCACTTAACTGATTTGTGCACATTTGTTAGCTGCAGTGGGATGATATTTCGGGCGAGAATAATAGTAGTTTTGAGTCTTAATTATAGGTATTAATTAAGTAATGAGTTTGAGTTGACTAGCAAAACATTTAGCACATTAATTAAAGTTTTGTTATTGTTTTTTTGTTTTGACTTTCGTATTTCTCATTTAAATAATATAATATATTTGATTTTAAGAGCTAAATTATAAATTGATAACTAGGATTGATAAAAGTACTAGTTTTAATTTGTTCATGTAGTTTTTATTCACTTAACTGCTTTGCGCATACTTAGTTAGCTGCAGTGGGATGATACTTCTTAGACTGAAAATAAAAGAAATAATTTTTAGTGTGTTATAACAATTCTAAATGTTAGTTACTTACAATTAATTGGTTTCACGTTTGTTTAATGTTTTGCCAGATATCACTGCTAGATAATTCTAAAAATCACTTTTTTAATTCTTGGTTATTCAATTGAATCAATTTTGATCGTTTACAAAAGTTAGTTTCAAGCATGAAATTAATCTATAGCTTACTTATCAACTGAAATTCTTTTATTTTTTGTGCTTGTATCGTCAGAAAAATAGATCATGTTAAGGTCTTTAATTCAAAAAAGATTATGCAGCTAAGCTGACCCACAAAAACAAATCATATAAGTTAAAATTTTCCTTAATCGACAATCACCTTAAATTTTGAATGATAAAAAGACAAAAATTGTTCAGATAAGTACTCGAGCGGTAGCTACGGATCTGAAGGAATCCAGCTTTGCTGGACATGAAGAGGTCAAGATTAGCATGAGATTTTCAAACAAAAAAATGTGTTTCTGATTTAATTTAATTTTATTTGTATTTATGCTTTAAACCAATTTTTGTAGATCCGATCATTACAATTGTACTCAGACTACTTATTTCATTCCAAATTAGATTTTTTCTTGTGCACTGAAACTTTGCTAATGTTTTGCAACTGTTAATATTCAAATTTTACTCACTTCTCGTGACCGCTTACTTTGCAGGAAATCCAGGATGGAAATGAAAATGCCGCCAGTGCACTGAAATTTCTTGTTACACAATGTAAGTGAGAATGAATCTAAGTAGACTTAAGTAAAATTCAGTTCACTTAAGTCTACTTAAATTCATTTTCGCTTACATTTTATGCAGACAGAAGATGATATATTTCTTGCCTTTTGAAAGTATAAATTAATGCTATGCTAACGAAAGTTGCTGTCATGTCTTCCATATATTAAATCTTAATTTCTCGCTGCAAGCCTTTTCTTAAAAAGTAAACCCCTTTTCAACTTGTATTTTCAATTCCATTTCTGAATTCCAATATTAACTAGCTGTTTGTTACCCTTATAAGTCTTGCTTGTAATGGGCTGTAATCTATCTAATCGTCTTATATAAGATTAAACTTTAGTTATTTGAATTAATTTGTGATTATATTCAGTCTTATACATCCAGTCTCCTCTCTATTACTTATACATAAGCTAACTGTGCTCTACAAAAATTTATGAGCATAATATTCATATAGCAAGCAGAATTAATTTTTAGAATTGTTAACGAATGTTTTGAATAAGAAAAGTACGCCTGACTATGAAAAACACCTTTCGAAATTTAATTAAAAAATAAAGTAAATATTTTTAAAAACTTCAAAATTAGACCAATTTTCGTAGAGTACATTTATTTGCTTGATTTAATCGAGGATATTCGGGCTGATATCTTTTAATTTCTATCACATGTTCCAGCGTCTTTAATAACTTTCCAAAAATTAACAAGTTTGATTTTATGCTTGTCAAAGTATGCACTACTTTTGCAGTATGCTTTCTTGAGTTTTGATAGGACAAGCTGAAACGAAATATCACAATGCGTTATCTAATTTAAATCACTTCACTGATCAATATTTAATATCTCAAAATTTCATTCGACTATGTCTAAATTTGCCATTACATTTATTTATGGTGCAAAATAAGTAATTAATAATTAAAATAAATGAATATGCATTTCTTGAACAATAATTAATTAGTCCTTTTTGCCGTCCATCGTAGTTTTATTTTCGTTTGCAATAAATGATCAAATTAAAATTTTTCATTACTTTCGCTCTTTCAATGATTTATCTTAATTTTTGCATTTAATTCATATTTCATATCAGTCAAAATCATCATTTCATATTTGCATATCAATCAGACATACTACTATAATTTTAACATCCTTCTGAATATTATCAATCCTAATTTTACTTACTATTCATTATTTCGCTGCAAAATAAAACAACATTTAAGTTCAATGACGTACATGTAGTCAAAACAATTTGTGGCAATTTATTATTATTTTTTTCGCTTCTTGAAATTATTTCTCAAATTTGCTTCTTATCCTGTGAGAAATTTGTGATAAAAAATTGTATACACATACTTGTTTGAAAACAAATAAATTTAGCAGCTGAGAATTTAGACATTCAAAATAATTTTTAAACTATCTGTATAGCATAGACTTTTCGATCTCATCCTAAAATACTGGAAGTTACTTGCTATTGATTAAGTTTTTTAAATTTATAGAAGTATACTCATTGACTGTTCAAATTTAGGTAAGTAAAGCTGAGGTGATTAAAGTCTAATTAAGTACGTAAGATTTTAATTGACGTAAAGTTGACATGAAATTTGCATGTTATTCATGATAAGCTGACTGAAGTTTAAGTCGAAATTTTGATAATGGTACTGGATGATGCGTGGAACCGAACAACTCAATTATCTGGCCATGCTGGCGTATTGCCTGTCCACATCACGGCGTTTATTTTGGCCATTGCAAATTTTCTTTTAAACAGTTTCATTTGTCTTGCATTTTGCCAGCATCGTTACCTATTCAACAAATGTCATTTGTATATATTTTTTGCATTTGCTATGACTAATTGTTGGTCAGGTATGTTTTTTAAGTTATAATACAAATTACAATTTTTTAAAGTTTAAATTTTTTGAAAGTTTCAAAATCTAAAAAAATTTCACTCTTTACAGCATCGAATTTAATAATAATTTTCTCTAAAACGTCAAATTGAATAATAATTTTCTCAATTTAAGTGTTAATTAATAGCCTAATAATTGTACACTTTCATCTCACATAGAAGTTAATCTGAGATTTTATCATGATTCTGTTAATCATAATGGTCGTATTTAATTACTGAGATTGAACAAATAACTGTTCTGACTTATTTCGAGGTATGCATCTTCAGATTTGGCTTAAATGTTTATCACAAACAATTTTTTACTTTTTGTGCTCGTTACTATCTTACAAATACTCTAAAATTGGGAATTCCTGAAATTTCAAACTACTACTGCCATTTAGGAAGTCAAAGCAATAACCATTCAAAACTTCTTATTAGGAAATCAATCTTACTTGCCTTTTATTTATTGTTACAGAAGATATGAAATGGAGTCTTGCAATGCATTCCTTACATCTGATTGTTTCTTTTTTTAATTATTAATTGCATACTTTTTGACGTACGTCAAAAAGCCTTGGCAAAAAGTGTTGGGTGTTGGTAATATATATTTATCCAGCGTAATATAAGATATGTCATTGACGTAAAATCCATTTAGCAACTTGTATTATAACAGATATTCATATAACTATTTGGGAAAAAAATTTAATCTTTGAATTCTTTAAATATTATTCGCTATGCTTCTGTCTTCACTTATTCCTTAGAATAATAATTACTTTAAATCAAATCTCTCCAACATATCAAAAAGATATCAGTGACAGTCAAAAATAGCTGAATATTAGTAGCATTCAGTAACATCATAAAATAGCCTTCAAATTACATTACATATAACTTGTTAATGAAGAGTTTACAGGTTTTTTCTCCCAACCAACTTTAATCAACTTATTCCTGCATAACAATTTAAACTGTCCGCGATGGACAATTATGATTGGTTCAGGTGCAATTTTTTTTTCACAGAACACAGCGAAAATTGTTGACTTTAATTTTTGAACAGCTTTACGAGCATTAATTATTTATCAAAATATTTTTCTGTGTATGGCAACAAGACCTTTTATAGCTTTATAAAATCACTTCAGACATCTTTTTGTTCTTTGTTTACAGTTTTTGAAATCGGATTAGATAGACTGCGTAAGATTCTAACGATTGGCATAGCAGTTGAAAGATTATGTGCAGTATACCTTCCATCGCGTTGCTACCTAATGGATCATTACAAATTTGCTTCACGTTTTTGTATTCTTGGTTCCGTTTGGGGGTTTTGTGATTCCCTAGCAATGTCTCTTGAGGACAGCATATATGAAGTTACACTTTCTGCTTTCTTCACAATTATCATCTTGTTTGTGCTAATAATAAATAGTAAATATTAAATACCAAAAAGTAACAATTACTTTCATAACTAACTTTTGATATTTTTTAGCTATAAGGATATGAATACAAACATCACAAGCAATATATACCAAAAGCTTTTTTAATTTTGTGCATTTTCTAATGATAATATTGTTGAAAAGCTACAGCAATTTTTTGTAACCTTTTTTTGCTAAAATTACCAAATGACACAAGGCAAAAATAAAGTTACTGTTTTTTCACTTCAGGTACGTATGCACTGTGTTACAACTGCGTCATCAGGCCCATATTTCCACGCATACTTTTTAATTTCAAGCATAATTATGGGTGCTGTTTTGCTCATCACATATTCATTTTTCGTTATCAAACTTAGTCTCATGACTGAATCCCTGACTATTTGCCGCAATAACTTGCGTGCTCAGGCAATACGGGAAAATAACCGTCAGGTATATGTAATTAATAATTTTGTTACTAAATATTGAAAATAAAACTTTTTCATCACACTGAAACATTTTCATAGTTGCCAAGCAACAAGCATTAAAGTCAAAAAATCTTAAAATAATTATGGAAATTCTGACAGAACTGTTAGGTTTTATAGATAAATGTTATTGACATTTACTATTTATTATTAGCACGCAAAATATTGCAAAGTTTTACCGAATAAATGAGATTCCATCAACTTTGAATTTCTGTTGATTCATGCAAGAAACTTTGTGGATGAACTAAAACTGCACTAAATTATATTCTGTAAGTAATTAACGCAAAAAGTAACTTCCATTATTTTTGATCTATTAAATGGATAAAAGGCACTGACGATATAAAAGTAGAAAAAAGTGCTATGTTAATGGCATATTAAGAAGTGAGCATTGCTAGAAATTAATTTTAGCACACAAAATTCATTACCTGACACAAAAATGAACTAACAGTTTTTGTTTGAATAATAAATTGCAAAAACTGTGTCATCACAAATTGAACAAATTAATAATTGAGTAGAACGAACTTCAATCAGATCATCAAGACTGTTCTTACTTCGCGTAAAATTAGTATACACGTGAAGTAAGAACAGTCCTGATTCAATTTAGCTACAAGGAATATTTTTCATACTTATAATTCATCATTTGGTAAGCGATATCGCCATTTCAAATTTCTAAAATTAATTTAAATTTCCGAAATTGTAACTATTTAAATACGTTATTTTTTCTGCACTTTGTATTATTTCTGTAACGTATTTGAGTTGAGATTACTTAACTTTAGCAGAATTATTTGCTTAGCATTTGAATATGAGCCATTTCTCGATAAGGAAGCAGATAGCTATTGTAAGAGAACTTTATTAAAGGTAAATAAATAGCTTTATTAAACAGACTTGAATAAAGATGGATAGCAAGTGTAAATACTTTCTAGTTAGAGCTAATTTTTAGTTTTTCCCAAATTAAAATTAAAAGTACTACTTTGAGTGTTTTCATTTTCAGGCAAACTCATTAAGCTTGTTGATTGTATTAAGCGTAATATTATTCTCAGTGATCCCAAGCGCATTGTATTTTTATGACTTACTTAAGGATGAAGTAAGTTCCAATTATTTTCTATTTTCATCCATTTTGTCCTCTTCAATTTGAAAGAAAAGCATTCTGATTACACATAAATTATTGGCTCATTTATTTTCAATCCTGAGATAGCTATTTTACTGCGAATAAATAAACTAAAAAATTATTGAATTATTTATTTCTTTATTGAAAAGAAGAAAATGAATGCTACAATAATAATTTTTCAGAAAAATTGAAAAATAAATTTAACGATCATTTTTTGAACTAATAGAGTACTGGTTTGACTACACTTTAAAGTTAATCACATAATAATGGAGTTGATTGATGCACACTTGCCCAAATTCTGTCACTTCATAAAAAAGTGTCAACTTGATAAACGTTCTTAACAATCGGTGTGTTCTCGGAAATCAGCCATTACTGCTGCATTCTGTATTAGTTAGCAATATCAAATCTTACTATCAGTTCAAAAAAAATACTTGTTTCGGTAACCCAAAAGTTTTTTCAAATAATCAAAATTGACTAAATTCATAGTAATTAATATAAAAGCCAAGTTTAAATAGTGTTGAGCGCCAGGTTATTTCAGGCTATACAAATTTAAAATAGACTTCTACACTAAATACGTAAATATTAAAAAATAATATCTTATTGCAAGTTTTAGTAAAATACCAGTTGTAATTTTTTCTGCAATTTAAATTTAAATTTCATGAAATCGTAGTAAAGTTTTAGAAAAATTACAGATTTCTGGAAGTGCTGAAGGCATTTATTAGCTGATAAACTGATATAAACATGGTTTTTGACACTATAATAAGAAATTATTGAGTGAAAGTAGCAAAAATAATCGCATTCAGCTCAAATTTATACTTGAACTAAGGAAGGCTAACTGAGAGGAACGTATTTAATAATACCCAAAAGGAAGACAAAAATGAGAAGGAAAGTGGTGTTTTTTTGAAGTTTCCATTAGCATTTCTCAAGTATTTGCTGCATAAAACTCGTTGCCAACAAACAATACATTTATTCAAAAATGAACAATCCATTTTTCTTAATTTTTACTATTCTTCCGATTTTTCATACTTTCATTTAAAGATTATCTTTATGGATGCGGGACCCGTTATTACTATTGGTAATCATTTATACGGCTGTAGTAGTTTTTTTATATATAATTGGCGACACAGGGATATTCGGTCAGCAATTATGTAAGTTTGTTTATTTTCAACACTGTATTATTAGAACTTTAATTAAACTCACTAAGAATATTTATGCAAATTTGTATTTTTTTCAATGCAATAATATTTTTGTGACAAATCATTGCTTAATTAATCGTTTTTGCATGCAATTAAAGCTAAATAAATTACTTATGACATGCAATTGTCAGATTGTATCAGTGCTTAAATTTGTAGTGTTGTAATATTTCTCTCCCAAATATAAATTATTTGTTGTTAATTGAGCTAACAGTGTGGGAAGTAATGAGTATATCAAATCTATTACAGAAAAACAGCTCACAGAGGTGCAAATTGCTCAGAAGCTAAGATCAATCAAAGCTTCCATCTCAAATTTCAGCAAAGCAGTTTCTCGAAAACTTAGCAACGTTGCGTAACATCTCAAATGATCTTGATCTCAAATTTTATCTCAAAAACTTCAGATCAAAACTTTTTGTATATTTGAGCCAAATGTTATTTCTAACATTGATCTACAGTATCAGGAGGTAATAATTTTGCCTAAGCAGAAGTTATACTGTCTTAGAGATCCAGAACTTTGTCTTTTAGACAGTGAATGTCAAGGAATTACTAATAGAAGCTTAAATTATTTGCTAAAATCTTTTATTTTAATTAATCAGTTCATTTTTGGTAATTTTTACTACTTAACTCAATCTTTTATTCATGTACTTTAACTTCAATATTATTAATTCATATCAAGGTAGATAAAGCTTACTTTATGCCTTTCTTCGTCATACTTTGAATTAATATTAGCAATTTTTTTATGCTAAATTTATCAACTTTTTGTTTTCTGTGGCTATTTGCTTCGTTCCAAATTTTATGTATAAAATATTGAAATATTTTTTAATGCTTTATAAAACTCTAATTGTTTAAAAAGACTATTTACGAATTGAATAAAAATTTTTTGAATTTACTGGTAAAAAATAACTTATTTTCTAATTTGTGATTTTTCCATTGCTTTTTTGTATTTGAGCTTTTAATCAGTATTTATCTTCATTTTGCTGTATCTTAACAATCGCATACTTTATAAGCTGCACTTACCATCTCAATGTTACAGATATTTCTAGTTTATTCAAATACCTTTCCATGTACAAAAAATCATTTTTATTCCTGATAAAAAATAATTGCTTTGATAATAACCTAAAAAAATATGTAAGTATGTGCAAATTACTTAGAAAATATTATTACAGTTATGTTAGATTAATTTATACACCAACGCACTGCACACCAATTCTAAGCTTCCAAAAAGGGCTCTCAGAACGAATTTTTATCTCAAATACATTTTTACTTAGCCAGATATATTTAAATGCTTAAAAAACCCATAGTCCGACTTTATTATCGACTTTTATTAGTAACTATAATTATAGTTGACATTTAGAAGCTAAATTCCATTCATTGAAAAACGTGTATACTGACCTAAACAAATCAAGACTGCCTATTTCGAATATATTTAAATATGTATATAATTATTGAAAAACATGCTATACTAATCTAATTATATGCTTGACAATTATCTATGGTTATTTTGCGCTGAAAAGCTGAACTAATACGAATTTCACTGTTTTGCTGAAATAAAAACTGTGTGGAAAAAACTGGAATACTATAGTAGATTTTTTGATAAAAACTAAAGAGAGATTGAAGTTCAAGACGGGTTCTGCTATTCAGACGAGCATCACAACAAGTTCTATCATCGAGTCCTCAGACAAAATAGAATGGTACTGAAGACGAAATAAATTTATTTTCACGTACAACCCACATGACAGTAACTAGTTGATTTGCTGTGAATACTTAGTTGATTATCACTTTATCATTTTCCACATCCCCATCCAACGGAACAACACTGCACAAACCTTAAATAATGAAAAGCAAGCTTTCTCTGATTATCCAACCAAATTCCTGCGAGAAGACTACAGAAAATTTCATGAACTTCCAAACTGAACTAAAGGATTTCCCGCACTGATACCTAACTTGCATGTTTGAAAAGCTGAAAACAATATTCGTCTGGGATTTATTTTTTATAATCGTAGCAATTTCGTGCAAAAAATAATTTATGATTAGTGCGAAATTCAGTGAACAAATTTTTTAATTTCACTGAGTTTGAAAATTACTTAATAAAGTATTTCGTTTATTACAGTATGACTATGCATTTCTGGAATATATGAAAACAGTGACAAGTGAGAATTCAAAATTTCTGTCATTGAAAGTATAAAATTTATTCTGCTTTTCATCCAAATTATTGCCAAGGCTTGAAGCAACACAGAACTGAGGATAACTGTCTAGATGTCGCTTGTTAAAATAAAAACTATAAAATCAGAGTGAATATTATATTTATCTACTTTAAGTAACGTTGTAGAAAAGTTAACCACAGTGTTTAGAAACAACTTTTCGAAGTAAAGAATTGATTTAAAGTGAGAAGTGAAAAGAAATTACTTATTAGGCTATTTTCGACTTCTGATAATTCATGACAAATGTCATTTATTATCTGATATTTGCTAGATGGAAAATGCACGGCTGCAGAAATTATCAGCTTGTATATGAGTTATTATTCCTAACATATGCTATGAGTAGTTGGAATTTTTTCAAGCAATTTAATGCAAGAAATAAAACTTCTGAAAATTTGCAATTTCGTAAAATACACTTTAGTAGTGCATTAACTGAAACGGAAATGGAATTCATAGAATAATTAGAGGTTTTATTCTTGGCAAGAAATATTATCCAAGTCTCTATTTTTTTAACTTATTTTTCCTTTGCAGCTTTCGTGTCTAACCGTTTTAACTCGAAATTTCATTTTACTCAATTCTAAATTTGGTAGTCAGCAATGGGATCAAAAATGAATAAAACTCCTAGCAGTAACCAAAAATAACCAAAAAATTTTAACTTTTCACTTTACTGTAATCGTAAATTAACTGGAGCAGTGATAAATACAGTGTACGGCTTTTTCTAAGCTTCCTTCTCAAGACTTCTTTTTTTAGTACTGCTATCATATCTTTATTTACCTTGTAAATGCAAAAATGTATTTAACATTTATCTATTTTTTCCACTAAATATTTTATGGCTAATAATTGTTTGGCGCTAACTTAACTTTGAGACAATTTTTTGCAATGCTTTCTGTCACGAAGTAATATTGCTAAGAACATATCTTTATTTCCCACAAAATATTGCTTTTACACAAATTATAAACAAGCAGTCATTCAATTCAATTAAAACTCAAAATACTGCTCATCATATATGAATTATATGATTACTTGCAGATTTATTCTATAAATGGATACTTATAATTATTTTCACAATTATTATATTGGACACAAGAAAGTTAATAGCAGCATTAGATGGGCTCCGTCAACAATAAGCTTATAGTTGATTACTACCAATGCTGAATTAATAAGCAACTGACATAGTTACAATTTTAGATGAACTCTTTGTCTGTTTGCTTTTCAAAATTTAACTACATGCAGCTATTAATGATATTTAAATGCAAAATTTCACTACCATATATATCATGTCGCATCATATCATTTTAGCAACTTAGAAGTGCGAATTTCTATGATTTCTCAGTACATTTCAACTTTTGAAAAGTTCAGTCAGTCGAAAGTAAGTTAATAATGTGAATTTTTAGCTTTTTTGTACGAAAAGTAATTTTATCGCATTCTTTATACTCACAAATCGAAATATTTTAAACTGTTCTGATTACACTTGTAAATTAAAGACAAGTCGGTGAAAACATTGCTGTTAATGTTACTTCCGTAAAATTAAAATTTCTGCAGAAATTACTGCATATTAAATATATTTATCATTATCATTATCATTATTATAAGAATCAAAAATGACACACTGATTGAAAGATTTCCAGCAGACTAAAATAATAATAATAATAATAATAGTAATAATAATAATAATAATAATAACATAAATGATAATAATAATAATAATAATAATAATAATAATAATAATAATAATAATAAAACGGTTGTTTGAAGCATTTCGATTAAAACAGCAGCTATGAATAGTATTTATAATGTATGGTCTCGTGGGATATGATGAGAAAATTCAGTGTTTTGTTAAATGATGAATTACTAAAATTTTATGCATTCATCACAGCCCTAAAAATTTGAATCAGTTCACAAATGTCAGCGAATAATGAATTAGAAATTGATGAATCTTAAAGCAGCTATGGCTCATCCATCATTTCTGCTTTCGCCAGCTTAAGCTAAGAGCTATCAGCATGAAAAGAATGCAAGTGGAAAAATATTCATAATCAATTTAGAGCTTTTAATAATTCAAATATTGCACAGAGCAAAAAGGATATACCCAAAACTGATTAATTAAAAATAAGCGAATGAATCAAATATGCATGCAGTTTGAATGATGAATGCTAGCAGAAGTGTTTGGAGCAAAAATTTTTTGCTTCCAGCCAAGCAGACTTCGAAATTAGTGTAACTGTATTAACAAATTTAACAGTTATTTGCTTTGCTTTTAACTTTGCTCCATTCTGTACTACTTTCTGTCTGCGTAACTGAACTGAATTATATATTGTTGCGTTTTGATTTCTGAATAAAATGACCCCAAATAAGCAATGTGCTTCGTTTATTACCTCACTTCTTGAATTACAGCTCAAAAAAACTTGATTACGTGTTTCATACAAAAGGTCAATACTTCATTCATACTATACGAAGCAGAGAAAACTTAAATGACCGAATTTCCATCTTTTTATCACAGAAATCAATCTTTTTTTGAAAAATTAAAATGTGAAATTTGCAAGCTCACTTCTTATAAAATTAGACCAAAAATGTGTGGTACTTTATCAGTTTCATTTAAATTCAATTTTTTCCTCATATAATGCTTTTTTTTAATTTTGTGAAATAGAAACTTGTATGATTATAAAGCTATTAGCAGCTAAAAAATTTCAGCAATTATAGTTTGAGTTAATTATTAACTAACCACATACGGTGGCAATGGGTCTGCAAATTTACGTGCAATGACTGAGGGGGCATTGGTCAAACAGTATGGTTTGCAGTGCAATGCTCATGCAATGTCGGCATATGTCAGTGCAGCATTTCGCTGATCAGAATTCGGTAATAAAATCAACGTACATGTACATGAGAGAGCAATAGCAATGACACTTACTGAATTTAAATTTAATGGCTATTACAGCTCAAAAGAACCTTCAAAAATTGATTGCGTGTTGATCTGCTTGAATTCAGAAGCACTGATCTAGACAAATCAACAATAATAAACGGCTGCTTTAAATACATTGAATGTTTAAAGCGAAAAAACAACAGTCCTAATTGCACTTTGCCATTTGATATTTGCGTGAATAAAAATTTAAACTAATCTTTTGACAGTAATGGCAAAAAAAACAAAACAAAACAAGCTTTGAGTATAAAATTTTTGAAAGGCAATGCAAATTAGAAGCAAAGAAAATAAAAACAACTCTTGTAGTATAACTTTCGTTTATAAAAACAAATACAATACACTTTTTTATACTGCTTCTTCGCACTGCTCGTTCCAGAGGAGAAGGAACGGTTGAAGTGGAACGAATTTTCCGTTTGCTATCACACTTCAGCGTTTCATATCAAAGCTATCAGTTAATTAGCGTCGGCAGTACTCTCACACTAAATTAGGAAAATGTAATGAAAACGTAAATTTTGCAGTAATAAAATGTATTTGAAAATGTACCACACTGCTTTTCATTGCAGTGCTATGCACATTTTTAATTAAAAGCTTCATATGAAATTATTTGACTTTTGACTGATCGCTCACAAATCTTTAAACAGTTACCCTATAAAAGGCATTTTCGAGAATGCATTACAAGCATTGCCTTCTATACTTTACTTTGGCACTATTGCGCTTACTTTGCTCATCCGTGAAAGGCTTTTTTCAAACAAAACTACACTTTGCTAGTCATAAATATATGTTAAATTCAAAAATTCCCTGAAACTCACTATTGAAGATTCTAAAATATAATGACTTAAATCATTTTTATTTAGACCAAACATCTTAAAAATGATTTGACAAAATTTAGCACTGATATCATTGTGACTTTACTTGTTGTGCTCTCAAATACTGCTTAATCTATTTATTTTTTAGAATGTTCTACAAGGCAGTTTGTCTAGTTTTCATTGCTGTTGTTATCGAACCAGCATTTTGTGCCTGTAATTTTCGAATAAGATGTTCTACGAATTCATCTTGCCGAATTCCACTTTGTTCATCGGCAACATCGCTACCACAATCTTCATCCTGTCCACCACAAGCGCCATGTCCCCCCCCGCCACCCCCTCCACCATGTCCACCAGTGACATGTCCAACAGTGCCAAGTTTACCAACACCACCACCTCCTTCACCTTGTCCTGCCACTTCATGTCCACCAGCTACTTTACCACCATCATGTCCACCATCAACCTGCCCACCTCTACCACCACCGCCTCCTCCATGTCCTGTTTGTAAAGAATCATTACCACCACCACCTTGTGCACCATGTGTAGCAACACCACCACCTCCCTCAAGTGATACTCAAGTGTCTGTAGGAAGTGAAAAGGGATACCAAACTGACCAAACTGGTAAAGATGCAGAAGTTGATAGTGCTGCAGCTAGTGGATACGGCCAAGAAATACCAAAAGCAGAATCTGAAGTTAACAGTGGAGTTGGAGCTGTAGACAAAGAAGTATCAAGCACAGAGCAAGGAACTTTAATTATTGGAGGAGGTGGAAGTAGTGAAGAAGGTTGTGAAAGCGGATTGGTGAGTTAGCCAGCAACTAATTCAATTAATCCATATTAAATTCACAAAGAAAGCATCTATTTTCTAATTTTAGCTACTGCATAAAACTTTTTCAGAGATTCATAACTTCACTGAGCTTATATATAGTTTGCAATAAAAATGTTTTCAAAAACTCCTTAATTTTATAGAATGATGTAAGCATTGACTGCTGCGTTTCATGCGATGCACCATGTAGACGTCGTGTAGTACATCGACGATTCCGCGGACGAGCAGCATTCCGCCGCCGTACCGCTAAAAATAAGCATCACAGAACTTACAATCGTAACAAACGTTCGAACCCTAACATCTCGCAGTGCAATGATGAGAAGTTGCGAGTAGTGATGGAATCAGTATGTTTTTTTGAAGGCTTAAATATTTCAGAAGTATCAAAAGTCGTCTCTTGTCATTTCCAAATTGAAAGTGCAAACAATAAATTCTTTTGTTACATTACTAAGAATCTGCAGAGTTTACTACTGAGTAAATACAATAGTTCTTAATGGTTAGAATATCGCAGAGAATATCTTGACCTACTTTATCAGTGAAATCACCTTCCAACTGATATATTTTCAAAATTTGCAGATTGAGTAATAAATTTGAAAAAAAAAAGAAATTTAAAATGCTAAAAAGTGTCTTTTTACTTTAGATTAAAGTGTTTAAGCATTTAGTTATGGAATGATTTTTTTTATTTTTGAAAGAATACTATCATTTTTATAGAATACATATATATCATAAAATTAGATCAGTAAAAACAACAATTCAAGGGAAGGAAACAATTATTGCAATAGGTAAAATAAAGAAATGTACAGAGTAAAAAAGTGAACAATACAATGCTTTTTTTTGCTTGAATGATTAGACAGTAGCAATGTATTACTTATGCAAATGAAGAAAAATGTCATTTGTTAAAATTTTTAAGTAAGTTTATAGCTATTAGCAAAATTCTATATGGTGGAAAAAATTCTTGAATTTATTTTTATCATTTTCAATACATTTCAGCAAATAACAACTGACGTAACAAGTGCTAAACGACGAATTCAAGCAGCAGCTGAAGCTCATTTTGGTGTTACTTTCAATGTGATTTGCTCAACGAAATCATTTTCCTTCTTATTATACACGGAGAAATACTGCCAAGCTTCGAGAGGGAGCGTCACGTGCTACGCTTTCAATACTTCGTAATTATAGTGATCTATGCAGAAAATTGTAAACTTTTTAGTTTTTTTAAATATACCAATATTTTGCCGCATAAAGTTAAATACTAATTAGAACAATTTATGATTTATGCAAAACATTTTGCTTCAGAATATGAAAGCGATTGATAAGTGATAAGTGCTAACTCTTACAAACCAGAAAGTTGAGACTTTTAAGAAACACCTGTAATTTAAGACTCATTTTAGTGTTTTTATTCATTCCTCTACCAACCATACAAAATCACTACTAAATTAGTCCCTTCACAGCTGGTTGAATAAATAATAGTAAGTGAAATTATTCTGCTGCACTGCAAAAACCTCAGACACTTGCAAGAACGCAAAAAAGATAACTAAAAATGATTACCTTAAATTTATAATTAATTCTTTTAAAAAACCATATGCAATCCCCTAAAGTATCATTTCTTCCTTTTTAAGATAAATTTTTATGACAGACTGAAACAATGGCCTGTTGCAGTTTGGAATTTTTTGCTTCACTTCTCATTCAATTGATGATTGTTCGAGACTTCCGAGAATTAATTTTAGTAATGGATCACAATTTTTTGGGATAATTTTGCATTGCCTTCAAAAGTTCGTTACAAAAACTCTAAAACAATTATAGATATCGTAGAAGATTGTATGAAATTCGAACAAATACCATAACTAATATTGTAGTACACTATTGTTGCGATGATAAAATCGTTTTTAATGGGCAGGAAGGAATCTGTGGTTTCTTTGTTTTCCAGAGTGCAAATTCATTCAATCTCCGTTTCTATTCCCTAAACATGTATGTGTAATTGTAGTGGAAACACAGTCCTTTCCTTCTATTAATTCCATTAAATCTTGAATCTTTACAACGATATATATATTGCGGCAAAGCAGTATTTGGATTCATCACTGACTACAGTCTTCTTGAAACACAACTTTCAACTCACTTCTTTCTTCGCATCATTTACAAAAACTGCCTTATTTTAACAAAATTAAGAAATGATCATTTATAGTCGAAATAAATATTCTCTAATTTGACCAATAAAAATTAACTGCTTTATAATTTAATACTATTTGTACGAATGTCCAGTCAGTAATTAAATAATGCTAATGAAGTTTTAAAACGATTTAAACTTCTTAACTAATTTTCTTTACTTTACTTTCTTCTAATATCATACCATTCTTGTTAATGTATAAAATGGTATTAAATATTAACCAGAAAATTTTTTTGAAGTTAACAAATTAGGCCAATTAAATTTTTAATTTAATTAAAAATTGCGTACCACGAAATTAGTTAAAAATTTTACTGCAATAAATGTCAGCAAATAATGCTTAAAACTGAACAAGCCAAAGAAGTTGTTTTTGTTGAATTGAAATCGTATTGTAAATCATGAAAAATGTGATGCATTAATTCGTCAGATTCCATTAGATGCAATTGTGAGGGAATGATTCGGCTCTGAATAATTTCATATGAGAGCTTGCATGGGACAGAAAGTTTCTGCAAACTTGAATTTGAATCAAAATCTTCAAAAGTCAAAAAAATATTATTGTCCTTGAAGTTATTGCTATATAAACATGTATTAGTACAAGAAGCCAACGAATTATTTATCTTCTGTGAATCACATGCTTTATTACATTCTACTGCTATTGATTTATCAGTTTCAATCTCAATTTCAGATTAGTACGTAAAAAAACTGAATAAAACATTAAATGAATCAGTTTTTTGACTATCGCCATCACACCTCTGAAGAATTTTTGAACATTCCACTTGGATATTTGACATTTCCATTTTATTACTACAATGAAAATAAGCAAACGTGAAAAATCGATAAAATGTGGCGGCAAAACATTAACTTTTAAACTTATTAGTAGAGAACTGTTCTATTTATGATAATGATAAGTTTAAAATCTTTCATAAACCACAGGTGTTGCGAAAAAACATGTACTGAGTATAGTATATATGATATTGAAAGTTATAAATAAGTGATTAATTTATTTCTACCATTTTTAATATCGGCTGGAAGACTCATAATCATAATTTGTTAAACTTATCGTGGAGAAAAAAACAAGCCACGTATTAATATAATCACTCTAGGTGATGTGGGAAATGTTACTTTCCGTTTTTAATAAACAAATAAGTTTAACAAATATTATATGTAAGTTCCCTGTTCCAATGAGCGTGACTTGCAAAACCGACAAACGTGATTGAAAGCATCCATTTAAGCTTTGATTTCACGCATGCTTTCTTATTTATCATCTCACTACTGGACTAAAGTAACACTTTACGTTGTATACTTATTTATAAGGTGCTAAGAGAAGCTTTTTAATGCTCGATTGAAATTACTAAGTTTAGTATTTATAACTAATTTTAGTTTTTTTTGTTTCAGTTTCAGCAATATTTGAATAATACTGTTTCACTCCATTACTTTCAAGAATTCCTTTTTATTCAATGCTCACTCAAACTGATTAATTATTACAGTGCTTGGACAATATCGTGTTAAACAGATATGTTAAACAAAACTTCCTTCTGCAGTTCTTTTATTACCGAAATCAGATGAGCGAAACTTTCGAATATGGTAGAATGATTAACTTAAAACAATATCGGCTCTATACTTTTCCCACAAAAAACTGTAAAGATTGCACTAGATTTTATTTTAGCATTTAGCAGATATAATTAAACTGTTATCTACTATGTTCATTGAAATCAGATAAAACAGCTTTAGATCCGATTGTTTTCCATCACACTTCTTTCTACTTGAATTTTAATAGTAACAGCAATTTTCGTACTCATAATGGCAAGCAATTATTTGAACCAATTTAATTTTACAAAAAACAGAAAAAATTATTTTAATGGCACACTGATACACTTTTGTAGTCAACAAATTGGCAATAACAAATGCAGAGAAGATTGAGAGTTTTGGTAACAATTTTTTCTATTTACACATCCTTGAAAAGTAGAGTAGGTATTTGTGACAGACAGCAATTGCGACCATTTTTTGTTTGTAACATTAAGATGCTGCATGTTACACATCAAGATTTTCCTAGAGAAGGAATGAAACACTAGATTCATTTTTGACATCATCAGGCATCCATCACATAGTTCAATCTGCTCTTCAGAAGAGAGTAAATTAATTATTCTGTAGAGCAGCATGTTTATATTCACTTGAATATTACAACTGAGTGCTGCAATAAATACATCAAACATGCCAATACTTCAGTTTTACAAAACCTTTTTAAAGCTGCTTTTTTGACTGAAAAAACGAAGGACAGACTTTTTAATAAAGTAAAGTGATAAGCTAATAAATATCATCACTAACAAACTATTAACACTTCAAGACAATTGTGAGCAGCAGAAGTGGCATCGAAAATACTGAAAGTATCTTCAAGCTAATTAGGCTTATTTTAATATAAACTTGCGGTATAATTTCTTTTAGTCTAAAACTCAGATAAAGTATGTCAGTGCTAAATACATAAGATACTTTTCAGTAAAAAAGTTTGGTTATATGTTTAAAAATAAAGCCAGCTCAAGTACATAGAGCAAGAAATGATTATGGATATCAAATAAGTATCAAGTATTTTTGAGGCAGAGAATTTCAGAATAAAAATTAGATCGGAGTTTTTGTCAATAAAATACATCATTTCAACAATCACTGATGACTTTTAGAGTAGCTTTTACATAATTACAACTCTCTATTGCTAATCTGACTAAAATTCAAGAACTCTGTCCCAGTAATTTATCATAAAGTGTATTTCATTGCACAAAAATATTCTCAACAAGTACGAAAGTATGGTTCGTGATGCCTTTAACATGGATATTGGATTACAAAAAACTGTAAGTCTGATTTACTAATAATTTTATGGAAATAATTGATTCTATTTTTTCTTGTTCGGAAATAATTTATTGGGTGATTACGAAGTTAAAATCAGACTTAAAGTGGGTAATAGTATTTTTCCGGTAATTAATGTGAAAATATGGAAAAATTGAGTAAATAAGTAAAAATCAATTGAATTTTTAAATATCACTGTGCACTACTTTTACTTTATCATTATTAGTGAGTGATGCCATTCAAGATTGATTATTAGAGATTCATCGTTTTTCTTCACAACGCAAAATCTAGAAGACTCCTGAAAAAATGTTATTTTGTACTTTTTAAAATTTATGAGATATTTCCGCGAACTGCGCGTATATAAGACTTTAAGAGAACACCAAATAAGGAATGTCTCAAATTCGTGCTTCTACTAGCAACGACTAATTTCTAGAATTATCATGGCTTTTTAAAACTTGTGAATTGATTTAGGTAGCTATGGTGCAGATTGAGAATGAGATGACTTTTGTTACTTCAACCTTTCATACTTCTGTGCGAAAAAACTTTTGCATTATTTGATTTTTAGTACTTTTAGTATTTTTAGTATGTTAGTATTTGGATATTACCGTTACATGATAATTATATTCAATCTTACAATCTTACTTTGGCTTACTGAACAGTCCTTTGCTTCTATAGCACAAAATTCCATTTTTCTGAAATCACCATTCTTTAGTCTAAAAAGTATAGAACAATCATAATTATCAAACGTTTCCATCATATCGTATTGTGCTTGCTTGCCAAATCTTAACATTAACTTCAATTTAATGAACTAAATTTCAGAACAAAGCTCGAAAGTTTTGCTATCTCAAAATGCTTTATATAGCGCTTTACCTTGGTATTACCTTAGCCATCATTGAACCAGCATTTTGCGGTTGCCATTTTCGGATAAAATGCTCATCTACAAATTCATCTTGTGTTGATCTACCTTGCCCGTCATCCACACCACCCTCACAGCCTTTGTCTTGTCCACCACCGTCACCATCAGTGTCATGTCCTCCTCCACCGCCCCCTCCAACGTGTCCACCAATAACGTGCCCAAAACCCTCACCTCCACCACCACCTCTGTCTTGTCCACCAACTCCATGTCCGCCATCACATCCACCACCAACTTGCCCACCACCTCCTCCATGTCCTGTTTGTAAAGCATCTGTGTCATCATTACCATGCACGTCATGCACAAATGTTGAGATAAATGGAAAAGCCGCAGGAGAAAATGGACGAGACAAAGAAGAGAAAGGTCGTGTAGAAGGCTACGGAACTGAAAGAACGGTAACAGAAACTAGGACCACCCGAACTTATGAAAGTGACAAAGTAAGAGGAAATACGGAAGGCGAAAACATGGAAGCAGATTCTGAAAGTACCACAAAAACATATGAAAGTGGAAATACTACCAGGAAAATTGAAACAGCTGAAGAAGGTTATGAAAGCGAAAATATTACGGAAAATACTGGAAGCGTTACACAAGGATATTATAATAAAGAAGTTATGCAAGGAACTGTAAAGATCGAAAATAAACTTGTCAAGGAAGTAATAAAGGAAGGAGCTGAAAATCTTACAAAAGAAAATGTGACTGAAGCAAGTATGATTGGAAGTGATTCAGATTTATATCATAAAGAAGAACGAAAAGAAACTGGAAGTTATTACCGGCGTGTTACAGAATCTGTAAACAATACTGAAAATGAAATAAGTGCGTATACCACGGAGTTTGTGACAAAGGCTGACAACAAACATGTGAATGAGAGTACGGGAACTGTCACTGGTTCATATGTCACGAAAGTAGTAAAAAGTGACGCTTCACAACTAACGGAAGCAACCACAGAAAGAGTTAGGGAAAGTGAATATGGTGGAAAAGAACAAAGAGAAATTCAGGATAAATCAGTAGAAAGGAAATCAGAAAAAGTTGACAAGGAATTTTACGGACAAAATATTATTGCGTTAGAAGAAACATCAACATCTGCAGTGGGCAACGCTGAAGAACCTACAGCTAGTGAGGATGTTGGAAGTAGTGAAGAAGATTGTGAAACAGAAACAGGAGTAAGTTTCTATTACATCATGCATACCTTTGTAATTGTGATAAGATTAAAACACAACATCCTGTAATCATTTCAATTTCAGACAAATTAAACCAAACATTATACAAATATAAGCAAGCACAAAAGCATTTACTGAATCAAATGGATTAAACAAAAACTGCAGAGACTGTATTTGATTTCCGGATAAATGTAGTGTTTACTCTGCAGGAAAATATAGTCCTTGATTGCTGCGTATCATGTGATGACCGTTGTCGAAACCGTGTGACACGTGAACAGTTACTAGCAGTGAGAGGATCTAATCAGCGCAGTGCCGAGCATAGAGCTTGTAATCGTATTAAGCGTGCGCAAAACACCTCACGATGCAACGATGAAAGACTGCGAGTATTGTTAGAAAGGGTAAAGTTATTCTTATCCTCATCTGATTCTCCAGCTCGTGCTAAATGGGCTTGGATTAGTTTAGGAATTATATCGATTGTATATGATTAGTTCAAGAAAATACCGAAATTTAAAAAACTAAGACTGAAACTTTCTAAACCAAAATGGTTCAACGTATTCATGACAGATTCAATCAATGCAAGAACCTTTTTTTGAATTCGTAACTAGATGTCATAGAACAACTTTTTCATACAATTCAGCACATGATCAGTAGTGATGTACGCGAAACCAAAAGACTAATTCAAGCGGCTGCAGAGAAAAGTTTCGGCGGCAGTTTCAATGTGATCTGCTCAAATGGATCATTCTCATTTATCACTCACACTGAAAAGTACTGTCAAGCTTCCGGTGCTGGCATTGTTTGCTACGCTTTCAAAGCAGATTAAGTGCAGTGTGATCTAAAATTTGCAGGACTGAAAATTTTGTTCCATCTATTTATTGTTTTCAATGTTCAGTAGCTTCAATTCATACTATCCAAGCAGTTTTCAACACTAGCAAGTTCATAAAGCGTAGTACATTGAAATCGCAGAATTGGAAAAAATTTTAATCCAAGCAGTAATTTATAAGAAAAATAACATTTTCTCAGTTGAAGTTTCTGAATGCTCTAGATTCTATCATTTATTGCTATCTGTGTGTTTTAAATAAATTCTAATTATCTCAAAAAGTTTCTCATTTATGAAATGCAAAAAATACAAGCTCGAGAAGGATGGCTCAGTGATGATTAATTAATGAGAGCTTAATATAAGCATGGCATGTATGAAAATCAGCATCTGATATTAATGTATGTTTGTGGATGATTTTTTTAACTAAATTAAAGCATTGAGAATGAATGCATTTAGCAATTAGCGAAGTAACAAGAAAATATTTTCTGGTTTCCAGAAGGCAAAGAGTGAAGATGGTTAGATTGAAGTGATGTTTTTAGTCATTTACTGGATTATACACTGAATCATTAAAATTGATATCTATCCAATAAATGGAACGACTGTGTTAGAAAACTTGGATTCACAGATGGCAAAGAATATAATTCTTCTACACCACAATTTGCTGCAATTCTAACCTTAATTTAAGAGTTAAAAGAAGTTTGGTTTTTACTTTAATCTTTTACGTGACACGTGAACAATTCCGAGCACTGGGAGCATATAATCAGTGCAGTGCCGAGAACAGCCAGCATAAAGCTTGTAATCGATGCAGCGATGAAATACTGCGAGTACTGATAGAAATGGTAGAGTTATTCGTATCCTCATCATCTGATTCTCCAACTCGTGCTAAATGGGCTTGGATTATATGCAATCAGTTTAAGAATTAGATTGATTATATGTATTAGTTTAGGAAAATATGCAAATTTAAAAAACTAAGATTGAAACTTTTATCAGATGATCATTAGTCTGCGTATTGCTTTTATTTGCTGAAGCATTTAAACGCTTTTACTAAATATTATTACTGCTGATAATCATTGATATAAAACAATTTTGCCGGGCAATAGTATTTGCTCGTTTGATTGATTCAGTACTGGAAATTTTAATTTATATTTTACTTCTGCGAAATGAAAGCTTGAAAATTATGGCTGGATAGACAGCTCGAGATGAGGAGTGTAACGGTGCCGACGGAAAGTTTTGCTTTCTTGCGCCTCACTAGATAATTGCAATGTGTATTATTTTAGCAATAAAATTGTTTGTTTTTAAAGTTTTGTCACAGAAATCCTTCAAAAATTCTGTTCTTTTTTGTTTTTAAATGTAAGCAAGCAACTCCACACTAACCAGTCCAACAACATTATCCTCCCTCTTCCACTTCTTGCTAGATCCTCGTTTTGTTTGGCAAATTCTGTCCGAATGCTTGCATTCAGATTGTCAGCTAATTTGGGCAAGCACGACGTGCAGTACTGTAAATCTGAATGCTACAGTTTGTTTTTAAAGTTTTGTAACAGAAATCCTTCAAAAAATTCTGTTCTTTTTTAATACAAATAATGATATTAATTACATGAGTTATGTGTACATTTTTCACATCACTGATCAAGCATTTCAAAAGTATATGAGCTTTGAGTTTTTTATGATAAAACATAGTCGTTTTCTGAGCACTAAACTCTCAACATTTCGTTGCAAACAAGTAAATATAGCTAATAAATATAGCTCATGTCAATCTAGTTCTATTCTGCTATTTTGCTGACTCTAAATTAGGAGTGCATTGCTATGTAACTTATCTTAAAAGTGTGCAAATAGATTTTATGCAAAGTTTTCTAAATTAATGCAAAAAAAAAACAATTTAAAAAAATTTTCAAAATGGTTAAAATCATTAATCTAATCGAGATGATTAAAATCATTGTTTTATCATTTCATATGAAAATTTTGGCTGTTAAAAATTAGGTCAAAAGACACAGTGCTGCACTGTTATGATCTTATCCAAAGTTTAAGAAAATCTAATAAATGAATATTAATCATTCTAACTGATATATCAGTTTTCAAACTGAATCATTTCCAAATGCATGTTCTACACACACCCGTGTTTAGATGTCTGTATATTCAGCAGTCTTCTACTGCCAGCTTTTTACAAAAAATAAATTCCGGAAAAAATGCAAAGAATCTAACTGTCAAGCATGCAAAAGAAATATCCATTTCACATAAAACTGACAAAACTAGAATATTACAAGAGTGAAGTTATACTGTGTATGATGTAGAGAAACACAAACAAAGCTTTAAAATTGTTACGCTTCGGAATTCCACATTTTAAGTATCCTCAGAGAGTGATGTGTACAGTATGTGGTTAAGATTAACGTTTTTGAGATGACTAAACATCAAGGTTTTGAGATCGAAAGGAAAGTCCAATGCGATGACTTCTTTTGCCCATTCAAATGATGCGTGACTGACTACTGAAGGGAATGGGCGGCTGTCGTGAGCACAAGAGTAAATTTCATACTTCAAAGAAAACAGTTTCTTCTGCTGAACACTGGAAATAGACTGTAGAGAGGAGTGGAAAAGTCTAGACGGTCTGCAGAGCACCAAAGAGGAGCAGTGCTTCACGCAGACAGCTATCAATTCCATTCGCACACGACTTCACTCTCCCTATGTGATCGGTAGTATGAAAATTTTGCTTTAGAAAATGGAAATTCTTCTCGACTAACTAACTGATACTTCTGCTACCATTTGCCAATACATAATATTTTCGTGACTGGCGAAAAATATAATTTAATGCTTATCAGATTATTTCAGTGCATCTGACTTTTATAAAAGACTCGAAAGAGTTCAGGTAAGCGACTGACAACTTCTCGTTCTCTAATTTAATCTGTTTAGATTCACATGGTCAGTAGTAGGTATTACTGAGCAGGTTTCTCAGATCATGAAGAACGGTTACCGCATTCAGATAAAGTTGTCATTCAAGAATCCATAGATCGACCCGCCATCCATCCCACCCTCACAGCTCTTGTCTTGTCCACTATCGTCAGCAGCAGCGCTATGCTCTCCATTACTACCCTCTCCAACGCGTCTATCACTAGTATGTCAGCGCCCTCTTTTCCACATTATCGCTAGCAGTAACATGTCTACAGCCCTGCGAACTCCGTGTCCACTCTTATGCCCACTATTAAACTTACCACCATCTGCTTGTACTGTTTGAGAAGCACTCGTGCTATCATTTGCTCCCTTATTGAAGGCGCTCTAACAGTCGGAACTGGAAGTGTAATTGGATAAGAAGTTAAGGTAGAGACTCAAAATATTATAGAAGTGAAGAACATGTGAAGTTAAAATGGGAAAATAAAGGTGAGGAGGGGGCGAAAAAGATCGGAAACGTTAGAAGAGGATTAGGGTGTGAGAATGTTGGGGAAGCAGTTAAAAGTGTCGTGAAAGTATATAAAAGCACAAAATTTACAGAAGGAAACGGAAACAACTAGTTGGTTATCAAATGATGACCGGAAGCAAGAGAAGTGAGTGATCTATACAAGTCGTAGAAAAACGGACTGTATGTGAAGCCAAGTTCTGATGCAGAAGATGGATCTGTTATTGTCCTGAAGAAGCAGCGATGTCATCTGTTGTGAGAGGAGAAGGTAGTAAGGGAGAAGGGTGGTGGAGCAACAGGAGTCAATTATTACCGTCAAGTATAAACCTTCATGGGCTTCAAAAATATCACAGTTTCTTTTATGAGAAGAATTACACTTTTTTGCTGAGACAAACAAGGCAGAAAAGTGGGATTGTTCTAATGGCAGTTTCAACCTATTATCCTGCATCATTTCCATTCCATGCTATAAACATTGCCAAGCTGCAAAAGCAACGTTGCTATGTACACTCATTTAATCTTCTTATTCTTTTCTACTTTCGAGAGCTTTATTATTTCAGTATATCGAAGTTATGCTTGACACAGTACCAGTAGTTCTGCAGCTGATCAAAAACCTCCAAATCTTATGAGCTTTAAATGTACTTGAGCCACTGCTGAAAAAACTACAGTAGAACCACAGAGATGCAGCCACTATCACAATATGTCACATATATGCAATATAATACATCATACCTTCATATGCATATAATGTCATGCAATTTTTTTATAAATGCTTCATCTCGACTGCTAAATTTTAATCCGTATCAACCTTAACGGAAGCTAAGAACATGTTTCCATTCATCTATGTAACCCATCCTGCGAAAACCTTGTTAAGTGCTCCGACTACTTCCGCGTATCTACTGCTTGGCAGGTTCTACCACTATAATTTTAAATTATTGCCACTAATTTTTTCAAAATGTGGATACTCAAGCTCTTGTGCATATAATTTTATTATTCATAACCATCAAATATTTTCTGACTACCACACATGAAAAATTACAGATTAGTTGAGTTGAAGAGTACGTCACTTTTAAGCCACTGCCAAAAAACCTTGCTAGACATTTGATAACTCCACATAACGTCAAGTGAATTTATAGCTTTCCTATACTAAGTTCGTAGTATTACATCCGATAACTCTTCATTGCTCAATAGATAACTGTTGAAGTACGCTTATGCAAGTCAAATTCAGTTATAATTGTTTCCGTCTTCCCCACATCATATTACGGATGAAATACACTTCATTTCAATCCTAGTAAAAGTAAGGGAGAAAAAAGTGAAGCATCAAGGACATAATGAATAAGCCACTATTTCATACATATCACAATCAAGTAATTGATAAAATCATTCGAATGATGTACATATATAGAATGGCCTGTAAACAAGTCTTTCCATATTCAAAAAATTAAATCATAGTTAGCATTTTCACTGAACTGTTTCTAAAGGGGTCCAGTATTGCAATAACTGAAATGTAATGCAAATTTTTTGACAAGATCACAATATTTGCAATTACCTACAGACAGAGTTTTGAAAAAAAGTAACTTTAAAATAATTTATTTCAACAGACCAAATAAGGAGAAAGAGCGGGGAACAGATTACTAGACGAAACTAAATACAAATTTCGAATGCATTTGAAAAAATTATCATATAAACGTTTCTTCCAGACTAAGAATCATAATGTTAAAACAACGAATAAAACAAAAAACAAAAACATATGCTACGTTAAATTAGACCAGATATAGTTTCTCCAACTTATTGATGTCGTTCTTTCTGTGGCAACCTCAGCTAAATTTTAAAGTACTTAGCTACATAGAGTTACGAACAGTATCAAAGAAAACGAAGAAAAAAAATCAAAATCGAAATCATAATTCAGTAACCATATTCGTATCCAAATAGGTAAATGGTTGGCAAGTAATATTTTATAGGTCAATTATTCTGACTATTGTAAAACACATATAATCATATAAATTCCGAAGAGATTTTAATTATTGTAGGTACTTAATTTTTTTTAATAACTAAAATTTTGTTCAGCATATTAAATTTGCACTAGTAATTTCAACTTGGCAAAAAGAATACCTTCCACAAACCGAGTGAGCAAATTTACTTCATCACTGCTCAGTTTCAACATTGTTGCCAAAACTGGTATCAGTTGACCACGTTCATATGTGACTTTTTCAGGAGCAATAAACTGTAATTAATTTCGTCTTCATAATATTTAGCAAAAATGAAAGCCCTGAAAGGCTATGACACTGTTTTGGACTAATAATATAGATAAACCCATACTATGATTAATATTAGTTCTCAAAAACCACAAAAATGAAGTTAACTGCGACAAATGATATCAAGTAGCTACTTAAAGATAAAAAAATTGTTTAGTTTTTTTAAAAAACTAAAAACGATGAAATGATATTCAAAATTTTCCCACCTTCAAAATAATATCTTTCAAGTATTCTGTGTTGCTTAAATGATTCTCACGTTCCTTATTACGTTCCATTTTACGAATCTCTTCTTTCAACACTTTTGTTTGTTCCAACAATCTTGCATTATTCGACTCACTTTCATTTAGGAGTTCACGCGTATGTTCTAACTAAACGAAAGCAGAAAAATACAAATATGTCAAATAAACTGCTTGTTTCTTATAATGAATGACTGAAAAAAAAATCCAACTTGTTTAATAGTAACTTGAACAGTCTCTTCCAAAGTCATTGAACTCTCAGACTGATTCCAAATATCAATTACTGCATCTTCCTCCGATTCTCCATAAATCACCTCTTCCAATGATTTTTCTTTATATATTTCATTGCTATCGTTTCTAATTTCTTTTGCTGAAGTGACCAGTGTTGAAGGTCGCTTCAAGTAAGAACTATAAAAGTCTCCAAATCAACCGAAAATTTCAGTCTTATATAAAT